TCAAATATGTTAGACTTAAGCTTATCAATATCACCGCATAATCTTATGAAAATGGAAAATATAAATGTTACAAAAGGTATAAATTATACTATAATTTTATTTTATTTTTAATTTTTAGTGACGACATATATTGAATAAGTGTATGTATTTTGAAGAATGTACATATGTAGTTATGAAGATGAAGTCAATAGTGATGATGATGATGATATTAATGAAGGACATATTTCGTTAGACAGCTCATCAGATACAAATGTAGATGGTGATTTTGATTCAAACTTAAATTTACAACAAGAAAATATTGGAGGTAATATTTATAAAGTATATTGATATCATATTTTTTTTTTAATGATGAATAATGTCTGTTTATATGTAGTTATAGGTGAAATACATTTTTGGAATATAAGTCCACATTACAATTATATTAATTGGGATCACTCAGACCAAGAAATTGAAGCAGAAGAAATTAGTGATGATATTTCATGGGTTATTGGAGATCCATGTGAATTTATTATTTGACTCTAAAGAGGAAGTTAAAAATGTCTTAGATTAGCATGAAAATACATCAGACTTATTTTGTTGTTGAGTCAAAACCAACAAAGTTATATGTGAAGTATTTAAACCATAACAATGGTTATCCATGAAGAATAAGAGCATCGCTGCTTAAAAATTTAAGTTAATAAAAAATAACAAGATGTGGGAGTAAACATACATGTCTTAATCTAATAATATCTCAAGACCATATCAAGTTAAATTTAAATTTGATTTATTTATATATTATTGGTAAGTTTTACATCAAATCTTATTTTGTGAAGCATTTTGACAATAAAGTGACTTACCTCTTTTGTTTTATTGTTACTTAGTCATGGTTAATCATTAAGCCGAGAAAAAGAGTGTAATTTTTGCGTATGATAAGGTTTCAGGTTTGAATTCTAATCATTCTTATGTCTCTCTATCTTTGCACCCTATGTGTGTACCTATCTACCCTTCAATTACCTCCTCTTCTCAACTATGCTTCTCTTTTTCTTTTTTTCCTTTTTCCTCAATCAAGTGGCATTATTTGATTAGACAGATGTTAGCAATACATTCTAATTGGTCAGTTTTAAAAATATCAAACCATTTCTGTCATGAATTAATCATTATTTTAAACATTACTTTAACCTTTTTAAAAATTAACTAATTATCTTAAATGTAATAAAAAGTATATTGTTTACATTTTTCTTTTAAATTTGCCACTTTGACCCATTCCAAAGTGCCTGTCCGTATCAGCTTGTAGGGTTAGCATTACGCGTAAAATCTTCAGAGACGATTGTGAAAAAAAGGATAAATGCCAAAAAGTCAAAAACAGTAGTCATGGTGGAGAAGACTAGCATGCATTGACCATTGACCTTTACCAAAAGCAATAAATTAAAATTGATCAAAACTTTACTCACTAGAAAGCAAAAAGTCCAGAGATAAAATGAGAACTGCAAAGCCATAAAAGCCCACTTTTATTCCTTGAAGATAGAAGAAATCAAAATGTTATTTATCTTCAAATTAATTCATTTAATAGCTTAAATGTTATTATAAATTATTAAATTAATTTGACATGACAATATGATTCATGATTGTTTATAAAAAAAATTAAAACTACAAATCCTTGTTAGTATTACATTTATATAACCTTAAAACTAGACACCAGTCAAGTTGTTGAAAAATAGAAGGATATGCGACAAAATATAATAAAGGAGAATGGAACTATCTTTGAATCAAAATTGAAGGAAATTTGAAGATGAATTTTCCATACACTTATTTGGAGTAAAGAAAATTTTTTAAATTATAAACCTCTCTACCTAACTTTTATGATAAAAAAAATAGGATTGACAAAATAATATTTAAAGTCCAAGACTTAAGGTCTTTTAAGAAAAGTTCCTAAGCAAAAAATTAAAATTGACAAGAAAATATTTTAAGTTCATAAGACTGAAGATCTTTTAAGGAGTTTTTAAGGATTTTTAAATCTCTGACACTCAAAAACTACTCGAAAAATAGGACTAATAAGAAAATATTTTAAGTCCATAAAGACTAAAGGTCTTTCGATGAGTTTTGAAAGATTTTCAAGTCCTTAATACCCAAAAACTGCTCTAAAAATAGGATTAACAAGAAAATATTTTAAATCCACAAAGACTGAAGGTCTTTCAAGGAGTTTTTAAGAATTTTCAAGTCTCTGACATCGAAAAAACTGTTAAAAAAATAGGACTGACAAGAAAATATTCTAAGTCCACTAAGACTGAAGGTCTTTTGAGGAGTTTTTTAGGATTTTTAACTCCCTACACACCCAAAAACTGCTCAAAAAATAGGACTGATAAGAAAATATGCTAAGTCCACAAAGGTTGAAGGTCTTTTGAGAAGTTTTTAAGGATTTTCAACTCTGTGACACCCAACACTGCTCAAAAAATAGAATTGAAAAGAAAATATTTTAAGTTCACAAGACTAAATGTCTTTTTGTGGAGTTTTTTGAGAATTTTCAAGTTCTTAACACCCAGAATTGATAAAAAACAGAAATTGATGAGAAAATTATTTTAAGTCCACAAGACTGAATAAGCTCACAGATTTCTCCCAGAATTGGTCAAAAAGTAAAAATTAAGGGAGAAATTATTCTAAGTCCACAAAATTAAAACGACTTTCAAATTTCTCCCATAATTGGTCAAAAAATAGAAACTAAAAGAAAAATTATTCTAAGTCAACAAAAATAAACGAGCTCCTAGATGTCCCTCAAAATTGCTCAAAAGATAGAAAATCACAGGGAGAACATTCTAAGTCCACAAGAGACATGATAGGGCTAAAATGAGTAATATCAAAAGAAGTACCAAGCTCAAAACAGTCATTAACAGTTATTAGCGGTTACTATTAGTTGAAAGTTCAAGACACGAAAAAATCCATGGGCGATAGTAGCTATGAAAGAAGTCACAACCATCAGCACGATCATAAGCAGTTGTAGATAATGGGCAACAGAAGATAAAGACAAGCACGTATAGAAAGCAGTTAATGAGAAGTGCTCGCGAAAAGAGGAGATCGGGGTGGTTCATTTGCCTATAAATACTACAAAGTTTACATCACTGGGATGACTTTTTGCACCCCAAACACCGCTCCCAAACTCTTTGCATGCTAAAAATCTACAACTGCAGACACCAGTTATCAGAAGATGCAGTTGTTGATTGTTTGTTGCTGCTAGGAGTCATACGTTTACATTTTTGCACATTTACATTTTTGCATTTAGTTTCGAGTTCATTTTACGTTTTCTATTCTTGTAATTACGTTCATGATCAGTTGATAAGTCTGTAATTAGACCCTATTTTATAATCATATATTCATATTTGACCTTTATTTTATTTGGTGCTCACACTAATTTATATATTAATTATGTAGTTTGGTATAAAGATGTCGCAAGCATACTTTGGGTGTGTTTTGGGTCCAAATTGACAGAAGATTAGAGCTTCGCAACAGTCAGCACGCCCAGACCCTTTCAACAAGCACGAGGTGCTTCGAGCCCATGCACGGTCGTGCTTAAGGCCTTGCAGGACCGTGCTCATCTGCGAGAAGTCCAATTATCAAGAGTCTTTAGGGTTTTCAAACCCTATTAAAAGGAGATCTTAGGCATCGTAAAGGAGAACGTTTTTTTACATCTAGTCTTTGGCTTTCGGATACACCTCTCATCTCGTCTCTCTTGCACGGGATTCTTGGCACATACTTGGTGAGACTTGAAACTTTAAACGATTGTACTTAAAGATCGGGAACACATCTCATACTTTAGTTTGCTATTTTTTTTTATATGGCTTTGTTTATGATTGTTTTAGTTCTTTTCTTTAGCATGAGTAACTAATTCCATAGCTAGGGCTATGGGAACTATTATTCATGAATTTATGGAATTTTGATATTTGAATCTAAATTAGATTTCTATTTTGTGATTAGATTTTATCCTATTGCGCTTCTTTTTTAATCCTAATTAATTATATCATCAGGCAACCGTACCTCGGTTAATTAATAGATCTATAGGGTAAAACGAGACAAAGGATTAGATGGACCAAACCAATCTTTTTCTTCTAATCGTTATTAAATTAATAAGTTCATAGGTTCTTTAAGCTTTCTTAAATTGATATCTTGCATGATCATTAAGAATGTTAATTTAGAGAAAAGAATATTAATATTGCAAGACCATTGGATATTAATAGTATTTGTATGAATAATTAGTAATCACAAGGAAATCAGATTTAGAATTAAACAGAAAAATAACATAAAGGATTGGATGAGAAAACCTATATGCTCTAGGTTCCTCTCCGATAAGTTTAACCAAGACGTGCATTGTATTCTTTGCTCTTAGTTTATAATTAATTTTATAAATTCTTGTTTTAATTAATCTTATATCTTTGAAGATTAAACAATTGAATTAAGAAATTCTTAGTAATTGAAAAACAATCTTTGTGGAACGATATTTTGAAAACGTAATTTAAGAATCCTTTATTGTTTTTCGATGGGTACACTTGCCCTCTAATTCTGTAAATCTTTTACATTTAATTCAGTTTTACGCTATTACTGTTCACTATTCTTGTTTAATAATCTGTTTTACGATATTCATTTAATCACTTTAATCACAACACGCTTAAAAGAACTCAGAAAAAATCTAAACTCAATCCTCAAATTATTCTTAGATTTATTTATTTACAATTTATATTTTTTACTGTAAATAACAATAAATGTGAAACGTATATTAAGTCACATTTAACGACTTAGGATGTGAATCTTTGATTTAATATTTGCCTGTCACACAAGCTTATCCATATAAATTTTTAAACTGAATGCAGTTGTCTTAACTACTGAAAGAATGGATCATGTTTATAATAAAACTTGAGAGTAATGGAAGGAAAGAATGTGCTTGTTGTTTTCGTTTATCAAACCCAAAAAAGCATAAGAAACCCAGATCAAGTATCCTCTTCCTTCTCAACAAAATGAAGCCTTTTTTTCTATCCATGCCTGAATTCCATTATATGTGCCCTCACTTGCTTCTTCTCTTTACTTTGAAGGCATTTTGGCTTGGCTTTTGCCCAAACAAAGTTGTAGCCTCAGCATTAGGAAACCAAACCGATCATTTGGCTTTGCTTAAATTCAAGGAATCAATATCCAATGACCCATATGGAATCTTGGTCTCGTGGAATAGTTCAACCCATTTTTGCAACTGGCATGGAATCACGTGCAACCCCATGCATCAAAGAGTTGTAGAGTTGAACCTACGAGGATACAAGTTGCATGGATCCATATCTCCCTTCGTTGGAAATCTCTCTTTAATGACAATCCTCACCCTCAGAAACAACAGCTTCTATGGAGAAATCCCACAAGAATTGGGTCGTTTACAACAACTTCAAATACTTGTTCTTATGAATAACTCATTGACTGGGGAATTTCCCACAAACTTGACAAGGTGCTCACAGCTCAAAGTGTTAGACTTGGCAGGAAACAATCTAAATGGCACAATACCAATTGATATTGGCTCTCTTGGGAAGCTTCAAAAGTTGTACGTGGAAGAAAACAAATTAACAGGAAACATTGCGCCATCATTGGGGAACATTTCATCCCTTATTCGTCTATCAATGGGTTATAATAACTTGGAGGGACACATTCCACAAGAAATGTGCAACTTGAAAAATTTGATAGTAATACCAGTGCATGCCAATAAACTAAGTGGTCCATTTCCTTCTTGTCTTTATAATATGTCCTCTCTTACTTTAATTTCAGCTGCAGCTAATTCATTCAATGGCACTCTTCCACCTGATATGTTCCACACCCTTCCCAATCTCCAATTTTTTGCTGTTGGAGGTGATCGATTTTCAGGTTCAATCCCAACTTCCATCACAAATGCAACTTCCCTTCAACAACTTGATATTAGTGGAAATCTTTTCATGGGACGAGTTCCAAATCTAGGGAAGCTAGAAAATCTAACGCTTCTAAGTTTGTCTTCAAACAGTCTTGGTGACAATTCAACTAAAGATTTGGAGTTTTTGCATTCATTGGTAAACTGTAGTAAGTTGAATACGATTAGTATAAGCACCAATAATTTTGGAGGTTCTTTGCCAAAATCCATGGGCAATTTATCCATCCAACTCAGTTATTTATACCTTGGAGGCAACCAGATATCAGGAAGAATTCCTGCAGAATTAGGAAATCTAACTAGCTTATTTCTCTTGGGCATGGAAAATAACCACTTTGAAGGGAATATTCCAGCTACTTTTGGCAAGTTTCAAATTATGCAATGGTTAGATTTGGGAGGAAACAAGATTTCAGGAGAGGTACCAGCTTTCATAGGTAACCTCAGCCAATTGTTTCATTTAGGTTTAGCAGAAAATACGTTAGAAGGAAATATTCCTCCAAGCATCGGAAATTGTCAAAAGCTACAGTATCTTGGACTTTGGAAAAACAACCTTAGAGGAACCATACCCTTAGAGCTTTTCAATCTTTCATCTCTAACAAACTTGCTGGATTTGTCACAAAACTCATTTAGTGGAAGTATACCAGGTGAAATAGGAAGGCTAAAAAATGTTGATTTCATAGATCTTTCTAAGAATCATTTGTCTGGTACCATTCCTGGAACCTTGGGAGAATGCATAACCTTGGAGTACCTTTATTTGCAAGAAAATTCCTTACATGGAATCATACCATCCTCTTTGACTTTACTAAAAGGTCTTAAACATTTAGACCTATCACAAAACCAATTGTCTGGATCAATTCCTGAAGATCTACAAAATATTTCTTCTTTGGAATACTTTAATATTTCTTTTAATATGATGGAAGGCAAGGTACCAACAGAAGGTGTTTTTTGAAATGCTAGTGAGTTCATGGTGAGTGGAAATAATAAGCTTTGCGGAGGTATTTCTGGGCTGCATTTACCACCATGCCCTGCCGAAGGTAAGAAACATGCAAAACACCATCATTTCAAGTTAATAGTTGTGATAATTAGTGTGGTTGCTTTACTTCTCATACTGTCATTTATGCTTACTGTTTGTTGGATGAGGAAAAGAAATAAGAAACCCCGTTTTGATTCACCAACAATTGATCAGCTGGATAAGGTTTCATACCAAGTCCTACACAATGGAACCCATGGATTTTCTGTTGAATAAACTTAAATGTCGATTTTAATTGGTTTTAATTCAGCAGTTTTTTGTTAGAATAAAAGGTCAAGAGTTAGCAGTTATGTTTTTTGATAAATGGTTATAATGGGTTTTGATTGTAGTTTATGGCTATTAATAGAATTTAAGTTTTTTTTAATTTTATAAATAGATCATTGTATTATTTGACAAAAAGTGTGAGAAATATACAAACAATTTTTTCTCCCCTATCGATTTTCAATTCTACAATTTGGTATCAAGAGCCTATGGCGAGTGTGACCAATAATGTGCCACTGCCTCGACTAACGAAGGTGAACTATGAGAATTGGAGCATTCAAATGAAAGCTCTTCTTGGGTCTCAAGATGGTTGGGAGGTGGTAGAAGAAGGTTTCAAAGAACCGGAAACTACCACGGGATATTCGGCAGCCCAACACAAGGCGTTGAAAGAGACGCGATCGAAAGATAAGGCAGCTTTGTACTTGTTGTTTCGAGCTGTTGACGAGTCGGGCTTTGAGAAGATTGCGAATGCAACAACTTCAAAAGAAGCGTGGGACATTTTGGCGAATGTGTACAAAGGAGCTGACCGAGTTAAACAAGTCCGCCTTCAAACTCTTCGTGGTGAGTTGGAAAGCATGAAGATGAAAGAGTCAGAAGGGGTCTCTGACTACATCACGCGTGTTCAAACCGTGGTGAACCACCGAAACGGAGAAGTTTTAACTGATGTACGAGTTGTGGAGAAGATTTTGAGGTCGTTAACTGACAATTTTGAGAATGTCGTATGTGCTATAGAAGAGTCAAAAGACCTATCAATGCTCACGATCGACGAGCTCGCTGGTTCTCTCGAGGCACACGAACAACGTAAGAAGAAGAAGAAGGAGGAGATACTTGAACAAGCACTTCAAACCAAGGCGTCAATCAAAGATGAGAAGGCACTCTATTCTCAAAACATTCGAGGTAGAGGACGTGGTCGTGAAAGTCGAGGAAATGGTCGCAGTGGTAGAGGTCGCGGTCAAGAAGAATATTATGAGGAGAAAGAACATTCAAACCAGCAAAATTGGCGTGGAAGAGGACGTGGTCGTTGGAGAGGCGGTTGATCCAATTATTCCAACATCGAGTGCTACAAGTGTGGCAAATATGGTCACTATGCGAAGGACTGCAACTCCGATAAGTGTTATAATTGTGGAAAGGTGGGGCATTTTGCGAAAGAATGTCGGGTCGAGAAAAAGGTGGAAGAGACAACGAATTTAGTCACGGAAGATGTGGAAGCAAAAGAAGGTTTTCTCTTGATGGCACATAACGAAGTCAACACCAATAACAACACGGTGTGGTACCTTGACACGGGCGCAAGCAATCATATGTGCGGGCACAAGCACCTATTCAAAGAAGAACATGGTGCACGGGCTACCGGACATGGATTATGAGAACAAATTTTGTGAAGAATGTGTGCTCAGCAAGCATGCGAGAACTTTATTTCAAAAGAAGGCAGAATATCGTGCTAAGGAACCTCTCGAATTGATTCATACCGACATATGTGGACCAATCACTCCTGAATCTTTTAGCGGTAAGAGATATTTTATTTCTTTTATTGATGATTTCTCACGAAAAACTTGGGTTTATTTTCTGAAAGAAAAATCCGAGGCATTCGAGGTGTTCAAAAAGTTTAAAGTGGTGGTGGAAAAAGCAATCGGTAGACACATCAAATCGGTACGATCTGATAGAGGTGGCGAGTATACTTCAACAGCTTTCATGGAGTATTGTGAGGTGCAAGGCATAAGGCGATTTCTAACCGCACCATACTCTCCCCAACAAAACGGTGTGGCCGAGAGGAAGAACCGGACTGTTCTTGATATGGTTCAGTCAATGCTTAAAAGCAAGAAGATGCCGAAGGAATTTTGGGCAGAAGCCGTACAATGCGCTATCTATGTGCAAAATCGGTGTCCACATGCGAAGCTAGATGATCAAACACCACAAGAGGCATGGAGTGGACAAAAACCAACGGTTTCTCATCTCAAAGTATTTGGTAGTGTGGCCTATGCACACGTGCCGAATCAGCGAAGAACGAAGCTCGAAGACAAAAGTAAAAGGTATGTTTTTATTGGGTATGACAACAAAACAAAAGGATACAAGCTACTAGACCCAATAAGTAAGCAGGTTGTGGTGAGTCGTGATGTACAAGTTAATGAAGCAAATGAGTGGGATTGGAGTAACTCAATGGAGGTTATCAATGAAGATGGAGAATCATCAACCGCTATACCAACAATCACACCGACAAATCCTGAAACTACCAGTGATGAAGATGAACCGCAACAACCCAGAATGCGAAGTTTGCAAGATTTGTATGATTCGACAAATGAGGTACACATTGTATGTCTTTTGGCAGATTTCGAGAATATAAGCTTTGAAGAGGCGGTGCGAGACAAGAAATGGCAAACTGCCATGGACGAGGAGATTAGAGCAATTGGCCGCAACAACACATGGGAGTTAACGGAGTTACCGAAAGGAAGTCAGCCCATTGGTGTGAAGTGGGTGTTCAAGAGAAAAATGAATGCTCAAGGCGAGATAGAACGGTACAAGGCACGGCTTGTTGCAAAGGGATACAAGCAAAAGGAGGGAATTGACTATGATGAAGTATTTGCTCCTGTTACAAGAATGGAGACAATCCGATTGCTCATTTCACAAGCGGCTCAATTCAATTGGCCGATATTCCAAATGGATGTCAAGTCAGCATTCTTGAATGGAGTGCTTGAAGAAGAAATCTACATCGAACAACCACCCGGGTACATGAAAAGAGGAGAAGAGAAGAAGGTGCTGAAATTGAAGAAGGCACTTTACGGGTTGAAGCAAGCACCGCGGGCATGGAATTCTCGCATTGATACATACTTCAAGGAGAACGGGTTTGAACAATGTCCCTATGAACATGCCCTTTACGTGAAGAAGATTGGAGGTAATATGTTATTTGTTGCTCTTTATGTTGATGACCTCATTTTTATGGGGAACAATGGTAAAATGATACAAGAGTTTAAGAGCACAATGGCACGGGAATTCGAGATGACAGATTTGGGCTTGATGAAGTTTTTCCTTGGTCTGGAGGTAAGACAAGAAGAGACGGGGATTTTTGTGTCACAGGAAACATATGCAAAGGAGATTTTGAAAAAATACAAGATGACACATTGCAATCCTGTATCAACACCAATGGAACCGGGTGCAAAACTCTCTAAATTCGATGGAGGAGAAAGAGTTGATGCGAGCAAATATCGAAGTTTGGTGGGAAGTCTTCGCTATCTCACATGCACCAGACCAGACCTTTCGTTAAGTGTTGGCATTGTAAGTCGGTTCATGGAGGAGCCAGTTTATTCACATTGGAAGGCGTTGAAGCGAATTCTAAGGTATATCCAAGGAACGGTATCACTAGGGTTATTCTATTCGAAAGCGGAAGATTACAAGTTAATTGGGTACTCTGATAGTGATTGGTGCGGAGACTTAGACGATCGGAAAAGTACATCAGGGTATGTGTTCTTTATGAGTAACACAGCTTTTACTTGGCTTTCAAAGAAGCAACCAATCGTGACGCTCTCAACATGTGAAGCTGAATATGTGGCAGCATCTGGGTGTGTATGTCATGCAATATGGCTTAGAAATCTGTTGGACAAATTGGAGCAACAACAAATCGATGCGACTGTGATACGAGTTGACAATAAATCAGCAATTGAGTTGGCAAAGAATCCAGTGAATCATGAGAGAAGCAAACACATTGACATTCGCTTTCATTTCATTCGAGATCATGTGAAGGAAGGAAATGTAGAATTAGTGCACGTGGCAAGTCGAGATCAAGTCGCAGATATTTTCACGAAACCGCTACCAACGGTACTTTTTGATAATTGCAAGAAATTGATTGGCAGAAAGATGGCAGAAGCATTTAAGTTTACGAGGGAGTTTTGTTGAATAAACTTAAATGTCGGTTTTAATTGGTTTTAATTCAGCAGTTTTTTGTTAGAATAAAAGGTCAAGAGTTAGCAGTTATGTTTTTTGATAAATGGTTATAATGGGTTTTGATTGTAGTTTATGGCTATTAATAGAATTTAAGTTTTTTTTAATTTTATAAATAGATCATTGTATTATTTGACCAAAAAGTGTGAGAAATATACAAACAATTTTTTCTCCCCTATCGATTTTCAATTCTACATTTTCAACTACAAACTTGATAGGATCTGGAAGTTTTAGTTCTGTCTACAAAGGAATCATTGAGACAGAAGATAAAATTGTTGCCATAAAGGTCCTAAACCTTCAAAAGCAAGGAGCTCACAAGACTTTCATTGCAGAATGTAATGCATTAAAAAATATCAGACATCGGAATCTGGTTCAGATTTTAACTTGTTGTTCAAGTATAGATTACAAAGGTCAAGAATTTAAAGCTCTAGTTTTTGAGTACATGAAAAACGGGAGCTTAGAACAATGGCTGCATCCTCAGACAGTAAGTGTGGAGCATCTAAGAACATTAAATTTTGATCAAAGACTAAATATCATTATTGATGTTGCTTCTGCATTACATTATCTTCATCATGAATGTGAGCAGCCGATCGTTCATTGTGATTTAAAGCCAAGCAACGTCCTTCTTGATGATGAATTGATTGCTCATGTGAGTGATTTTGGCATAGCAAGACTTCTCTCAACCATTAATGGTACCTCTCATGAGGAAACTAGTACTATTGGAATAAAGGGAACCGTTGGATATGCTACTCCAGGTATTTTTGGAATTTTTTTAATCATTTGTTCTTTTTTTGAATTCTACAATATTGTTGAAAACTAGAGATTTATTAACGACAATTTTTGGTAAATATTTTTAGAGTATGGAGTTGGTTATGAGGTGTCTATATTTGGTGACATATATAGCTATGGGATTCTTGTGTTGGAAATGCTTACCGGAAGAAGACCCACAGATGAAATGTTTGAAGGTGGACAAAATCTTCATAACTTCGTTAAAATTTCATTTCCTGATAATCTTTTACAAATTTTAGACCCACCTCTTGTACCAAGCTTAGAAGGAGTAGATATAGAAGAAAGAATCAGAAAGAATTTCACTTCAATTGTTGAAAAATGCTTAATTCCACTATTTAGGATTGGACTTGCTTGTTCAGTGGAATCACCAAAAGAAAGAATGAATATGGTAGATGTAAAAAGGGGTCTTGACAGAATCAGAAAGGCCTTTTTGGGTGGTAAGCTAATTGAATTCTATGCTGAATTATAACTATTGAACAACTAATGTTGCCACTTTATCACTGCTTCCTCTGCCCAATTTTACTAGCAGTCCTTTTTATAAATATACTCTTCTGTCATTTGAATTTTAGCGTTTGTCAGAATTATTTCACTATATCATGATGAAATTTTCCTTTTCAAAGTTAATAATACAGTGAAATTGTGATTTCTAGATGCTATATATGGCATTTCCCATCGCTTCGGTTCTTGTTACAGTTTTATTTCATGCCATCTTGCTATGTATTTCAAAATTCCTAAACTAGAAAGTTAACATGTTTCTTCTTGAATTTTAGGTGCTAATGCTTGAAGATTTAAAGCTGCAATCAAATGCCACGGCCATTTCGAAAATAGATGTGTATGATGCATCGATCATCGTCCACGTAACATGTAACATTCATAAAATAATAATAATCTCTTGGTTTCTTTTTACGATTTTTTTTATGAGGTTAAGTCTCCCATTAAATATAAAAAATTTAAATAATACAAGTAACATAAATTCATTAGTAACCTTTAAGTATAATTTACTTCTCTTTCTTTAAATTTAAGAATACAAAAATAGTTATTTTATTTTATTTTTGTTAATATCACCTGTTATAATTTAAAAAAATTAATAATACATGTCAAAGATTATTAATTCAATTCAATATATACCAAGTTAAGTGACACTAGTTTGTGACCCAAAGTCGAAAACATTAAGGTGATAGAATCTTATTTTAAAAGAATTAACAATGTATATTAAAGAATCATTAATTTAATCCAATAAATATTATGTTAAGTGACGCTAGCTTATGATCGTACATCCAAAGTTCAATATATGAGTTGCACATTGTAAAATAAATAACAATCTTCTTTTAGATAAATTTATAGATTTATAAACCAATTCTTAGCTTTTATAATATACATTTTTTAATTAAATTAATAAAAATTAAAATTGAAAGTCTTAAAAAATTAGAAACAAATTTATTTTTAATTTAATATTTTTTTGTCATTTTTAAAAGGTAAAATATAAAAATAAATAAATTCTTCGTCTTGAAAGTAATAAACAGGGACTTGTAGTTCCATATTTTTATTTCCCATATCACTTATGATTTTATTTGTTGTAATGTCAATATTTGCATTTTTCAATGCAAAACACACGTTTCAATAACTCAAAATTATGTACATACTTCAATCATATTCAATAACTCAAATTAAATATCAAAATTTATTCTACTTAACTTTATACTAAGCGGACAATAAAATCCATATTCCCGCGACAGTTTATTTACTCTTGTTGGACTTTTGGGGGTCCGTAAACTTGTCTTTAATGGTAAGTTGGGAATAGCAGGGGACTTTCGAGAAACAGAGACAGTAAATTCATTAATGTAGAAAACAATAAAGACTCCCATTCAAAATATTCAAAGTAACAAGCACAAAACTAGGGAGAATTAGGAGAAAGGGAGAGATGGTTTTTTTCAGATTGCAAGAGTGAAATCTACACTTGAAAAGCTTTTGTCCCCTAATCCTACCACTTAACCTATAAGAGGGGACAGACATGTACCTACCAAGACATCATAATCAAACACGTTTATGCCACATAAAATAGGCTTAATGCCCGACATTATTTTCCATAAACCATATTTTATCACAATGTGTTTAAATGGAGCTTTAGAAACATCATTCAGTTTTGGCAAAAAAATTCAATGAAAGTTCAACTGCTCAAGTGAGAAATGCCATCGCTGATCATGATCAGTCTGATTATTTTCGTTTCATTCTTTTTTTATGAAAGATTCTGCCTGTGTGGATTAAACTAAAAATTACAAAGATAGATTCCACTTGACTATTATCCCTTCAAAAACTTGTCAAACATTGAAGTTCAAGTTAATTACGAATTGGGGATTTTCTAAACTTTAGTACGATATAATATTTCATATAACCATTACCTATCTCCAGGATTATGTGTACAATTAGCTATAATTAAAACCAACCAAAATTTATGGAAGGCAAACTTATCAGTTTGCTTCTATTCTTACTGAGCAATGCCATGCAATAATAACAATAACATTTACAAACTCAGCCACACAAAAGCCACTATGGAGAATTTTGAGGAGACAAGCTTGTACAAGCCTCCCTATTAATGCACCAGACACGACTTCGGTTTGGTGTAGCTATATTACAGAGCTGGGATTTGGCATCAACAGATGAAAGTTCCAAATCACAAGTACTGTCACTGCTAGAATCACAACATTGTCCGTCCGCCTTGTTCATCTTATCTAGTAATGATTGCCTGATATGTGAACCAACAACCCAAGTTTCAGAGAGATTTATCCAAGGAGAGCAACTCGTCACTGCAGGAGAATTAGGATTGCTTAAACAATCCTCCTGCAATATATCTCCTACTCTAGACAGTATGCTGAAGGCTAAATTTCCAAGAACTCTGGAATATGCTTCCAAAATGGAATGTCCAATATCCTACAGAAACAGAAAGAATTAGTCTGTCCTCTCCAGTCACAATAATTAATGAAATGCATTACTATAGAACTCACCTTGCCATATTGAACTTTAGCAGCATCCAGAAATGTTTGAGGAAGGTTTGGGTACCTGATTTTAAGCAGCTGTAAAAGTGTTTCTGCACGATCCAATAATAACTCCATTTTATCAACCTCTGACATAGGATCCTTCACAAAAGACGACCATGAGGTTCGAACTGGTGATTTGCTACTAAATTGTTCTGCAATTCTCACTTTCAATGAGAATATAGCAGCTTCCAGTCTATTAACAGTCTCAAGGGCACTATGTTCAGATTTCAAATTTAGAGATTTAAGCATCTCTTCTCCAGATCTTGATTCTGCTGTCAAAACCTTATGCAGTTCCTGTCCAAGGTTTGCCTTTCCAGACTGCGACATAGAAATGGATTTAGAAATGATGCAATGAAGATCACAATTTAATTCATCATAATATACCCTTTGCTTATGATTGCTTTAAAGTTCTCAAGCTGAGAATAAAAACTTCCTTACAGTTATGATATCCGACGATGAAATTTCCTTGTTCAAGAATTTAAGCAGATTTAGGATTATTTTTTTAAATATGGTATTTAGAAATTATATATACAAAAATATGGTATTTTTTAAAAAATTACAAAAATATGGTGTTTAAAAATCACTATTGGCATTTTTTATGTAGGTCCAAAAATTCAGAGATGAAAAATCAAAAAAGTGATGGAAACTCAAATCGCCAATGGCGAGTTTTAAAAAAAAATAATAATAATTAAAAGTTGTCATTGGTAATTTTTGGAAAAGGGTGGTCAGGCGATTTTTGAAAAAAAGACCATATTTCTGTAATTTTACCAAAATTGCCATGTTTTGTTAATTTTGAAAAAAAAAAAACCATAATAAAAAAAAAAGAGCCGCAGATTTAAGTATTTTAAATGCCTTGTTTAACAATTTTGGGATCAGGATAAAATGTATAGAGTTTCAATTCAATTCGGATTGAAGTTATTCAACAGTACAAGATTATCACCTTCGCAAGTGCATCTTTAATAATTGCTGGCACTGGCATTTCAAGCAACACACTTTCATTGATAGATTTGGCAGCCTTGAATACTTGACGTAACACCCTTCCCTGATGAAGAAGCCTTTTTCTTTCAGTATCAGAAAGCCCACTTTTTGGTACTTGGGGTGATGGAAGCCACCATCTTTTACTATGCCATGCATTTGTGTTCCTCCCTTCTGCCCTGCTTCCTCCCTCCGCATACCAAAACTCCGTATTAACCATTGAATCTAGTGCCTCCTGTCAACAAAAAAGATGTAATAGTATAGCAAGTTAGTTGAAAGAAAGTTCAAGAACTTTTATGAGAATGAAGGGATGGTAATGACATACAATAAGCATAGAGTCCAACTTCTGAAGTGCTGGAACATTCATGTGGATGTCTGCACGAGCTTTTGGGGTCATTATCTGTTGGAAGAATATGACTCTTATTTATTCCAATGTGATATATAAAATAGTCCACTTTTTCCAACCTTATAGCTCAAATGAAAGATACCTCAAAGATCCCACCATTGGCACTGCTTTGCTTAGCAGGAACTAGCTCAACCATATAGTTAGTAGGAGACAGTAACCAGTCCATTTCTCTCCGCCATTTGCTCTTCCTCTCTTCAGACAGGGGTTCCAATTTCCACAGCTCACCAAATACCGTGACTGCATATGATCCATTAAGGACTTAGATTGGCTTAGAAAATAAAACCAGAAGAAAAAGAGAAATAATAAGAAACAGCCAAATACTCTTGCGAGTGAAATTCTATGATTGTACATAAGGTTCAAAAGAGTAACATAAAGCTTTATAAGCCATGCCTTTTTTTTTATTTGATAATTAAACTTTCATCAGTTGCATGTAATTGTCATAAAGTAACTAAAGCAAGATAGTAAAAATGAAGTCAGAGCAGACCTGATAGGTTTGTGATGGCATTAGACAGTGCCAAAGCTGTGCTGAGGCCCTTAGTTCCTCCCGTAACATCTTCACCTAACAATAGCTTCGAAAATTTTTCCTTCATGTCTTCAACATCTGACTGTTGGAGAACATAAGGCTTCTCTTTAACATAAAAATGTTGAGGACTTTCTGAGAGTTCCCATTCTTCCACTCCTTTATCATCCCTTTTCATTGTCAAGCATTTTGAAGAGAATGATCCAAAAGCATCTTTGCTGGAGGAACAACTAGAGTCATCATCATCAAATGAATCGGTTATACATTCCTCTCCTCTACTAGTTCTGCTTTCATCTTCGTAAGACTGATTATTTAGCATGCAACCCTCAAGGCCATTATATGTCATAATCCCTGAAACATTCCATTATAAATTCATAAGAATTACGATTTCAAAAGGTGTCATGCTTAAATTCAACAACATTACATATAACCAAATAACAAAAATAAATAAATAAATGAAACCTTGATGTCGTTTTCAAAATAATGAAAGAATATATTCTCTCTGCTGTTGGACAAACCACCAATGCAGGCATACATCCAAAAATGGCAAATGAATATACATGTTTGCAATTAAACCCTAATTAAAAAAGTCACTAGGGTACATAATTTCTATTACTATATAATGTTGAAGTAAAAGCACAAATGTTTTCCTAATTATCCGATATAAACATACATCTACAAACTACATCAGAAACAGAAATCTAAATTATTTGCATTGTTGTTAGCAAGTAGCTCAAGATCTCCGTGTAAAAAACAAATGGTTAAGAATTAATAGTATCACGAAGAATGAATAATTGAGATTCTATCGTATCTCGGTCACGGATACCTTTAACATCCTAGTAGATATAAATTTCCTAAGCCCTCCTCTCAAGGTCAAGTATCTCTGCATCATAACATTTTAATTTGACCCATTCCAAGATTGACCATCTAGAATGTATGTTATTCTGCCAAAATTCATATATTCCTTTAAGCCTTCATCATATTTAATGCACAATACAAGCTGACTATCGATAAGTGTTGATTTTTTTCGGACTTTACGCACTACATTGTTATCCTAATAAAATCTTCAAAAAGGCATGGTAGATCTCGCACCAACAACGCGATAACATTGACACCTATTAGGTTCGCAATTCAGAGATGGGCATTGCCATCGTCACATGCAAGTGTCATCAGCGATCCTTCTTTATTATATAAATACACCATGCAACTTGTGAATTGAGAATAAAATAATAACGTATAAACCCTACAATAAGATTACGGACACAAGTTTATATTCGGATAGATAAATTACCAGAATAAAAAAAAATTTAACTTAATTCAATTACTCCAATAAATTTCATAATTAAATTTATGACACATTAACTTGTATACGCAAATATAAACTTAGCCGAACCCAGAGTGATTATATGTGTACTTTCGTTAATAAGGGAACACAAACACAAGAAATGTTCACCAATATCAGCCAAGAGGGAGGGGGGGGTAAAGACACAGCACAAAAAAGCTTCTGGGGCTATGAGCTATGATGAGATAGAACATGAACAGCATCGAAGAAAAGTTGAGAACAAAAAATGCCTGAAATAGAAGAGAAACCCCACAAAAGAATCCCATCGTAAGAAAAAGATTTTAAATTTGGAAGAGAAAAATAGAGGAATGAATGAATGGTGCATTCCCCACTCCGCACCCATTTACTCAAGTTTGTCAGTATCTATGAGCAGGAATGGCACAGGTAATAGCTACGACTAATAACAACACTCGCGGGGTCCACACCCACATGTCGGTCATTGGTCATTGGTCATTGGTCATCGGTCAAAGGACTTCATGTTCAGATTTAATACATATGACTCAGAAACATAACCTCAAAAACTCGTGTGATCGTATCAAACGCCAATTCTACATCGTCCTACTTGCCAAAACTATAACAACAAGACCCACGTCACATTCAAAATAATGCAACAAAGCAAACGGTTAAAACTGTGGGATTCCACCATTTGTGTTTACAAAAGAACTGACGGAGAAAACTCAATGTAGGTCCCCTTTTTTTCTCAAGATTATATCTGTTCGTCTTATTTAGAATCAATTGTAAATAATTGATGCCCGAAATTCAAATGGAGCTAGTGAATATTACTGTTTATCGTTTAGCTTGTAATATCTGTAAGAACGTGCCAATAATTGATCAGCATACAAATTTTGAAAATGTGCAAGTGCTTTCCGTTGGTCCACAGGACCACACCGACCAGAGAATAATAACCACCAACTCTGAAAATGGCAACTATTTCTGTTCAGGGTTGAAATGAAGCATAAAACATGATATGGAATTTCTCTGTTAGTCATATAAATGAGTTCTCTTCGTTCATAAAAATAGACATGTAAATTTATTAACTGTATAATGGGTTCTAAGCTTTTGCGTCAATTTTTACAATATTAGCATCTACATAGATTTTTGTTTTTCCGTTATATCATTACGAGATTATTGTTGTAGAGTAGTCTTTCACACAGTTTTAATTCATTTTTTGAAACAAGAAATTCGAACTGAAAAAATACAAATAAAAATAAAAGTTGAGGCTGGTTAAACTTGATTGTACTACTAACGAATATTTTCTTAAGTAGTAGTGCCCTATCATTTTCGTTAGTTTTTCTTTTTCTTTTTCTGGACGGGACTGCTATGTTTATTGAATAGCCAAGTTCATGCAGTTGGTATGTTGTAGCAGCAAAATAGTAAGTTTGTTAAGATGGCTATTTAATATTTATGACTTATGAGTCTCGTGCAAGAATAAATGTACCCTTGAATGAAGGGATTGTTGAATATTCAATCAAGTAATAGAGTGCAGTATCACTAGTAAATGAAGTCATTATTATTACTAAAGTAGGTATATATTTCGAATTCAAATCTAGCTCTTACTATTGTCGAGACACTAGCAAAAATAAATAACATTATATTTTTCAAAGTATGCATGCCAAGTTGCTTATTTGAAATATTTAAATCTGATTGATGGTATGAAGCTTTTAAATCTGAGCAAACCCTTGATTTTGGGTGAGATTTTTTTTTAAAAAAATGTAAAGTTATGCTTAAAGACCCTACAGCAAAAATTAATTTGGAGTCTAGTTAGTAGTTAGGTTATATTATGAAAACATTGTGATGGTAAAAAGCATAAAGAAACTATTTTAAAATTTTATATTTTTTATTTATCATAAATATTAGGTACATGATTGTAGAGTTGATTTTTAATTTGCTAAAGTTAAATTTTACAGTTTTAATTATAAAAAAAATTCACTCAGTCCTACCACAAAATTATTTCTTTCAGGGAAAATCCAATCCTACCAGTTGAAATTAATTCCAAGATTTTTACACATACGCTCTTTTGTTTTTTCTGGCTAAACCACTTTTTTTGTAATCTTAGCAAAAAGTGATCAAAGACATGATTCTTAATTTCATAATTTTGTTTAGTGATTCAATTATCTTGTTTAGAAAAATTATTTTTTAAACAAGCAAACTTCAAAATAATCACAGTAAATATCCTGTTGTTGGTATTTACTTTCAAAACTCATCTTTAAAAGGCTATTACTCTGTAACCAAAGACCGGTTAATTGATTTGTTGTAATGAGATTAGATTAATAGTAAAAATAATAGTAGTACACAATAATAATAATAATAATAAGAGTTTGATAGTATGAACTTACTCTCTTGATCATCAAAATCGATGCTAATTTTCCTTTCCCTGGAGCAGCAAGCTAGTCTTTTTCTCATCATCAACATCTCCTTCACTTTCTTGTCGCTCCACTGCACTGTCAGGGTTTGAGCGAAAGGTCACTGACTCACTGCTGCTTCAATAACTCCTACTCTGACCCCTTCACCAACAATGTCCCTAAATCATTCATTACTCTTAACCATTTTCAACATTTATATTATACTCTTTATAAAATTTTTAGATTAATGCATACCACACCAGGGGCCACAATGCCACACCATTTCTATGCATTAAATTTCACGTTCCAAGTCACGCTTTAAATAACTTGCACTATATCCACAATTTCAAAATGAGGTTACTGGCCATAATGCACTCTGTCACACCCATATAAAATACGGATTTTATATATTACGAGGTAAGTATATATCCACGTTGAGCATAATAAATTAATCATAATTAATTATAAAATAATCATAGGTAGAGGGGATGAAAAGGTGTTACTTATGGCAACTTTATGAAACGATGGTCAAAAAGTCAGAAAGGGTGGTGCGAACAGTAAACACACTCTGAGTCCCTGATTTAGCATAAAGATTTGTTTTTCAAAATGCATTTTAAACGGAAAGTGAGGATTGAGGAAGATCCAATGAAAAGAAGAAAGGTGAGTTTTGTGATTCAAAAAGAAAAATGAAGGGAAAATATTAATTTTCAGTTAAAATGGAAACAAATTCTAAGACTGAAAACGGTTTGACGAGAAAAGAGAAGATAACGAACGTACCTGGGACAACAACGTTGTTTGGTGGATTGTGGAATGACGATGGCAAACATAACCTCACCGTAGAGGAAGTTAGAGCTAAGAAGAAGAACGAGGTTGCAGAGAGGAGAGAAGAAAGAAGAATGTAGCAATGTTAACAAGCGCGTGTATTTATTCAACAACTGAGAGAGAGAGAGAGAGAGAGAGAGAGAGAGAGAAGAAAGTGGATTTGGGAATGGAGAGGAATGAAGGCTCCTCTACAGTAAATGAATACAGGCCGTTGAATGCAGAGTGGGTCCCTCTTCCCTTTCTACGGTTCAGATTAAGGATCATCAATATAATATGTTGGAAAGAAGTGGGGTTTATTCATAGCGCCCTGTCACCATCCTTAACTTCTGCATAATTTTTTTAACCAAGCTCTTTCCATTTCAATTTTCAAAGTAAAATTAGTTAATTCAAAGCTTATTTACCATTGAAGCTAATAGGGAAGAGAGATAATCATGTTGCTTAGAAAATGAAAAATGAAAATTTGAAGGTCGATTTGTGAGATTATTATTCATACTTATGGGCCAAACTCATGATATTTATATACCTACCTCTTCAAAGCAATGACATGTTTGACATTGGAAACTTCCCACAATCATGCATCTTCAAAATTATCCCACATCTAATTTATTGATTCGGAAACAATCAGGTATGTACAAGCATCTTTCTTTACGTACCAAAGGACAGGCAGTAAAAGGAATTCTACACATCCATAGACACATAAATTATAAAATTTTCTTACCACGGAATAAGATAATCAACCATGCACAAACGTCTCCAATTTTCTAAACATACAAAGGGACAAACTGTCAATGGAAATAACTTGATAAACTACTGGTACAATATTTTTTTAAGATAAATATGCAATTTTTTCTCCAAAATATAGCATTCATGTCGATATGATTTCTAAAAGATTGCATTGTATTTAAAATTTGTCTTACTCGGGATAAATTAACCCTTCTTAAGGCTGGGCAGCGTTCAGGTATGAGTGGATTTGGGTTAAAAACATGAAACTGAAATAATATAATTTTTTAATAATTTTAACTGCTTTTATCGAAAAATTCACGTCAATTAATCGGGTGGTGGGTGACGAATATATCAGGTTAAACATATTATGTTAAGTGAGTGATTGACTTCGTGGAATATTTATTTCTGTAAAGTTAAATGATGCAATGGCTCCACTATCTTATATGGTATTAGAGTCTTTATATAAATTCTTTTGTTGAACTCAAAAAGTTTTTTAAAGCTTCAGTTGTGTATTATTATTGGAAGATCAGGTGAACAGATCTAGAGCTTGTTCGCTTTGATCTGTTCGAAGCTTGTTCATTTTAATCTTCTATGACATTTGCATAACATTGTCCCAGATGTTTAATTAGATTATAGAAAGATAAAACAAAAAGAAAAAGAATTAATCAACCAAGTTTAGTTATCTATAAATCACTCATATTTATCTAATTCCAACCAAATAAATCTCTATAGGACCAAATTTATGATTTTATTCTATCAAAGTTTAAAATAAATCGGTTAATTTTGTAAAAAAAAATTTGGTTTAAACGGGTCTATGCTCACACCTAACCCTTCCAATATGAAGTTGACTAAATTTTAGACAAAATTACCATAAAATTTATATTTAATTCTTTTTAACTTCCATATTTGAATATGCTAAATTGTGTCAGTCACTAATGATTATTATTATTTGCATTAAATAATTTATAGAATGTATTAATAAATAATAATCATCACTTCTTATTCTCGGAAGTTCACGTGTCTAATACAAGTTATTGACTTACTTAGGCTTAACTCAATCTAAAATTCAACAAGCAAACTAGACTCACGTGTAAGAAACATAACTAGACGTTATGAAATGAAAAAAACACATTAGTTATTTGGAGAGAAATTAAAACTAATAATGTTGCCTCGATAAGAACACTCTCAACGAATGTGAATTATGAACAGTTAAAAAAAGGTTGAGAATTCAAACTTAACAGATGTAGCTATAGTATATCTATATGCCTATCCTCTTACTTTCTCTTAATTCCTTTCCCCAATTTCAGGGCCAAGAAAAGCGCCGGTAGCATGGGTTCATGTCTCTTAATTAAATTTGTCCTTATTCTCGTGTATCCATGGAAACTGCCACTCTTCAATCACCCAATCAGATACCCAAAATTCAGAATGGGTGATGCCATCCTTATCATCACTATATGATTTATTTATACAATACTTATCAAGATAAAAGAAAATTGGTAAATAGAAATGCAGCAATTATAAGCAAGGACCACGCAGTGGAAACCAGAAAGACATGCATCATTCATTCTATTGCGTGCAGCTGTTAAGAATATGGAGATGGATTTTAGCGCGGCTGCATCTAATTTGTCTCCTTTTGAAACTCGCATTGCCTTTCTATCAGCACACTCTCCTTTAGCTAGGAAACAAAAAGCTTAAGAAGCTACCCTACTGTGCATATATAATTGGCAGCCCCACCTAGAGAGCACTACGTTTTGTACCCATTCATTTTCCTGTGCTACTCTTGTGTTCGGGATAACACCCATACAAGAACATGGGGATTAATGTTATGCTTCCACTTCTTGGATTTTTATGTTTCAAGGGAATCAAATATCCAACACCAGTTAATTGTTCCCCCCAGATACATAGTAGAAACGGCCCTTTATTTTATGTGTTATTAAATTAAAACTTTTCCCTTTAACCATCTCAAGATAACTTCCTCAAAATTAAGGGATGGAAAGTTTGAAATGTTTAAACGAAACTATATAGCATTAGGGGTGTAATTTTTACCTCGATTAGCTTCTAAACAGTAAACATTATGCTGAGTTTTTTAAGATTAGATTAGCACACCTACCCCCATTTTTTACGACTTGACAAAACAAGGTAGGTTTCTTCAAATTTGGATTATCTGGGGTGGAAATTCTATTGCACCAAGTCCAATAATAACCTTAATAATCTATTGTGCATTTATTATCTTTTAAAATTAAAAAATTTAACTATTTTAATTATCAAATTCTCTCTGAGTGATAATGTCACTAGAGGATTTTTATTTTTTTTTCTTTTTTATGTTACTTCCCATTGCCACTACTTTTAAGTATAAATAAAAATCTTAAAATTGTATAATTGTTGAGATTTGTTAAAGAAGGTAAAATAGGTAAGATCTGTCCAGTGAACCCACCTGTTCCATCATTCTTTTACTCCTTGGTTACATATGGATTATGTTAGGGTGTGTTAAATCATCAGATTAAATTACTTATTTATTAATTTTAAATTCTTTCAAAATTTTTAATGCAGACATAATTCTTTTTTATTTTCAATTTGTACTCTTATTTAAACCTCGTATATCATATTAACTTTTTTCTTTAAAAAATATGTTTTAGTATTATTATTAATTAAGTTGGTTAGCATGTTAACCTACCATACAATGCGGTGGTTTAACCTTGCTAACCTATTATAAAAAAAATTATCTTCCGTTTCTTGACAAATAGGTGCTGGGCACAGTAAAATGAGCTAACCTATTTTGTAATCTCTTAATTTGTTATCCTCTACCACTGTTATGCGACACTGCCTCTAGCCATCACATTAGCCCTATTTTCCATTATTTTGTAACTCCAAAAGGATGCATTTTGTCATGCCTAATTCTTGTATCATTTTAACTCCATTTCATATTGTATATGTGCCTCGATCCCTTTATTTATTTAAAAGAAGATGGATTTTGATATTTTCATTATCTTTCAGAAAATGGAAGCTAAATAGCTTTAAGGATAATAATGAAAATCCAAGAATCTTAATTGTTAGTGCAGCAACAATTAGGAAGTCAAAGAACAAGCACTTGGATTCATATCTAGAAAGGAAGAGTAACATGATTGTGCAAGAGAATGACAATCCTAATAACTAAGTTTTTTATCTTGTGAATTAAAATAAAAATTATATATATATATATAACTAAAATATAAAGAAAATAAATGTATTCTAACATTAATATAAAGTACATCATAGCGCAATCTGAAGTGGGATCTTTTTATCTTAATTTTATTGCCACGAAGTGAAAAATCTTTGAACACTTGCAGATGCTAATATTTTATTTGCTCATTGACACAAATCGATCTGCCTAACTTTGAATTTGGCTTGCTTAGTGAAAAAGAATTCATACTTGAGCTTGGTTCCATTATAATTAATGTCAAAATTCACATAATATGGCTCCACCTCTCAACCAAGTAATTGGCAAAGCAACTTTATATTGAATCACTCGTTTCATTTTGCTTCAATTTAGGTAAGTATTTGGGTAAGTGCTCGTAGAAGAAAATAATTAATATAAAAATAATTTTTTTCATGAATTAAAAGTAATTTATATTGTTAAAATTTTAGAAAAATTAAACGGTAGAACTTTTTTAAAAAATTAATTTAATTTTGTATTTATAAGTATTTATTAGAAAGTTTATCCAATCATGGCACACAACGTATAAACTTTTTTTCCCAGACAACATATGGTTTTAAGCTTCCATCATAGTGCTCAACTTATAAATGAAAAACGTACACATAGACATATGGGGTTTAGAAAGCAACATAACACCGAACGTAGCAACATTGTCACAACATGGCCTTATTTGCCATTATAATGTTACAAGACATATTCACATGCTCCTGGGTTGAAGATGTGATCTTCACAAGCTCAGAAATAAACCTCTTCATGACAAGCGGTGGCAACAACATTGGCACCACAATTCCATCCTCACCTTCACTGTTTCTAAATCGTCCATAGAAACTCACAAATGGTATAGCCCCTGCAGGGCCACCATATACAGGCTTACCCCATCCAAAATCCACATTACAGAACCCAACACGTGTACTATCAGCAACAAGGTAGTTCCCTTTTGTCCTATACATGGGCCGGCCCTTTAGAACCATAAGATCAGCCACTGAATTCATGTACTCTGCACTCATTTGGGCCTTAGCTTTTCTTATTAAACCCAGTGCATAGCCCAATGGGTTCTGGCATAAAAGTCCAGCCTTTGAAAGTGCCATTGGGAAGGCAAGGCATTTCCATAATACCCATTAGGCATTTGTAAGCCTTGTTTACCATGAGCAGTGATAAAAGGGGACAAGCCCACTATTTCACTGGGATTCAACTCAAGTGCAATGGTGCGGCATTTCCACAAACAAGCAGAGAGTACCTCAAAAGTTGAGCATTCCCTTAGGTGCTGAGGAAGATGATTCCGAATGGATTCAATCTCTTTGGGCCCAAACAAAAATGACTCGTGGGCGTTTGTTGTTTCATTGTTGCAATGCTGAGTTTCATCCTCATATTCATGGTGTGTACAAGTAATTCTTGGTGGGTTTCGTGCACTCAATAGTTCTCTTTGCCACAAAGGAAACTGTGATATAGATGCACCCCTTGCTATCTCTCCCACCATGTTGAGGAATTGGACTAGACCAAGTGAGTCGCAGATTGTGTGGTTCATGCGTGTCGCGATAACAAATCCTCCACACGAGAGACGAGTCACCTACTCAATCATCAATGTGGACAAATTTAATCAGTGTATTTAAAATAGTAACAATATGATGGGAAATCAATTAAGATCAATCAGAAGATATGATTGCCTACTCTATTTTGAGTTTGTATATATCACATTGTATCTATTTTTAAGAAATAAATATATAATTAAGTATGTAAGCATGTGGCTAGCTGTGATACAAGGCTTAACATGTTAGGAATCGAAGGCTTGTAACTATATATATATATATATATATATATATATATATATATATTTTATAGAAAGAAATAATTTAGCAATATTTATAGGGTGTGCAAATTCTCCCTAGTACTTTTCATTGTATGACAGTGCCAAATATATAAACACTTGGCTTGTGCTTACTTTATTGGAATAAGAATTTGATTGAAATATGATGATATAACTTCTAAAGACATAATTTGATTATATATATGTATGATCGAGTAAAAAAATTCAAGTATCTTTTATATTAGTGGAATAAATTTATAATATTTATTTATGTTTATTTTTAATTTCTTTTATTTTCTATTACATCATTCATTATATTATTTTATTTTATTTTTTTTCAACCAATCCACACTCATTTGATGGGTGTGAAATTATCTCTTTTTTATATTAATAATTTTGTTAACTTTAATTTTTAATTGTTAAAGCTCAGTTAAACAAATACTTTTATTAGTTATTTAATCTTAATATTATAAACATTTTTATATTTTTATAAAATCTTACTATTATAGTTATTTAAATTTTTTCAAAATGTGAAAGTTAACAAAATCATTATATTAAAATCCTTTAATTTTGGTTAGGCAATTAAAGTTTGCATCAGGACAGACAAATTAAATATCCGTATGTCAAGAGTCTTCTTTTTTACCGTGGTTGGGTTGAAATTCCTAGGTATCTTCTATGGAGTAACATAGATGCATGTGCTTACCTGAACCAACAACATGGGACACCCCATAATACCCTCTGATCCAGGAACGTCAACAAGGAAATCCTTAATGCGGGGACACGGTGGCAGAATAGCATTGCCAAGCTTCTTGAGAGAAATATCAGCATCAGCTTCAACAAACAAGATGCCCTCACCACAACAATTCACCATTAACTTTCTGTTAGGGCCTTCTCTGAGCCTTCCAGCAAGTGGGTAGTAGTGCACAAGTGCTTCAGCCAAACCACGTTTTATAACCATAGAAGGGTCTTTTCCTTCCTTAAGTGCACTCTGTCGGTAGAACATTATTTGAGGAAGCTGAAAACGAAGCCCCTCTTGGTCATCTATGTCAGAGAGCTTCTTTAATTCGTGAGGAGTTTCTCTTGCAGGCACCACCAGTTCGGGATCACTACGCACCACGGCAAAACTTGTTTGTGCCATGAAATGAAGTTCCCTAACACAACAAAGCAAGCAAGAAGTAAAGGAACTCTTGTAGCAGCTTGTGCTCTTTTCGAAAATTGATATTCCATAAGTCTATATATAGAAGGGATAAAGACTGGTGCATGCCATTGATAAAGGGACACTGGAGGATAAGGTAATAAATAAATGGCTTATACGGGATCGTATACAAACACATAATATAATTGATGAAACTAATTTTTATATTATTTTCCTTGATTTCAAACCTTAATTTAGTTTTTTAAATTTTAAAAGAGGTATAAACTTAGTCAATAGTGTACATAAAATTTATCAATTTTCATAGAAAGTAAAAAAAATACATTTAAAAAAAGTTTTAATACTCCTAAAAATCAATATTCAAATTATTCAAAAAAATATTACAATATTTTCACAAAACATTATATTATATTCTCAATAATACTTAATATACATCCATCGTATTTTTGACATTTTAAAAAACATAATTTTCAAGAATTAAAAAATTCTTACACCAAATCCCCCTTAATGGCTCCCTTCTTTGTGCTGACAAGATCTCTTGCATGAGTTGTGTCTAATACAACTCGTTTTGTGCTTAGCCAAGATTTGCTTCGTTAAAACTCCTGAGTCGTGGATTACGGACTTATTTTAATATTTATACAGGTAGCTTTAATATTTCATCAGAGTTAATAGCAAAAAATAATAAAAAATTCATCAGAGTTATATTATTTATCGTATTTTTATAGCATTTCTTTATCGTAGTTTATTTATTTTTATGTAAATATTGTCACTTAACAAATTATTACCTCTGATTTTATTTATAAAAAATAATTTTTATAATATAATAAAAATTTATTGACATAAATATTTAATTAAGCGCCTATAAACATGATCGGTTCCGACGCAAGACAGGAGAGAAAAAAATACATTACCAATTTTTTATTTAAGAAATAATTATGTTGATTTAAGAAATAAGTGTAACAATTATATTTAATAATTTAGTTTATATTTAAGAAAATATTTTTTATTTTTAAAAAATTTGAACAAATTAATAAAAATAATTATTTAAAAAAATAAGGTTACTTGGATAAGTTTTCTCCTTTTATTACAACATGAATAAGTAGAACTTGTGTTTAAAATTTTCTTTTTAACTTTTTAGAAACTTTTACATTATATATATTTACGTTTTTTCCAAATACAATTTATAAGCCATTAAACGATTCTAGTGGCTTACACTTTGTATTAGAGTGGAAATCTTTACTATATTAAACAAATTTGAGACAACTTCTTTTTGTCTCTATTATATTTTATATTATTAATGGCTTAAACATATTCCAGATAAAAATGTTAAGAAAAACAATTTTTGTCTCTAACACATAAAATTTGTTTTCTTCCTTTAATTCATTAAATTCTGTTTTTAATAAAAAATTTATCTCTATTTATGTCTTTAATATCTGTTATTAATTCAACTTTTTCTAGCAATGAAAATAATTGATAAAGAAAGGGAATAATTTTAATTTTGTTAAGTTAAAATAATCACAGCCACCGGCATACAAAAATAACAACAATAATAATAATAACAATGTACCTATGTACTAAAAAAAAAAATCAATGATAAAAAAATTATAGTATATTTATACTTTACTTTATAAATGTATCGTAAAGCTTTGTCAGGACTCAAGAGTGCTGATGCGTCATCACCTCATACTCCAACGTCCCAAGATTAAAGCCTCTTAACGTGTAACTGAGATAGCTTTTCAAATGTAACATAACATAATTTAGTTTAAAAAATTATGATTAATAAATATTAAAATAATGTACATTTACAGGCATTTAAATACGAATCTGCGTAATCTGTTAGCTTTTTCAAATGTTAATTGAATATTTTAAACTTATCATTATCCAATTATTTATTATATGTATTTTGAATTAAATATGTACCACGCCTTGTAACAGATCAGTGCAATGCAAGCACCACAAATTTGTGGTAATGGTAAAATTTACGTATGTATTATGTATCTCACACATTACTCAGTTTTTATGTGCTCATGATGATCATGTTGATGGTAAAAAAAGTTGGATACAATATTTGCACACACGAGTGTTCCCTGATTTTCTTATTTTCTATCCCTTCAAATGTAAGCAGAAACTTATAGTTGCATTAAAAAGAGGGGAAAAAAAGACATCATGAAGAAGAAAAGGATATGAAACATCCTCCAACATTAATAGGTAGCAATGATAGTGTGAGTTATACATTTTGTATTTTGTGGTTCTCAGGTAGCCAATCTCCATTGATCTCTCCTGAAGAAAAGGAACTTTTGATTAGATTAAGTTCCCTAGTGACATCAACCATACTCGTTCTTTCTTTTGGCGATTCTGTTGAACAAGCAAGTGCAATCCTAAAAAGTGAAAGTAAACATTTCTCTACGTTGGGATGCATAACGGTCAGGCTTTCACTATTAGCAGCATCCTTTAATTCCTTGGGAAGAATAGTTGGATCCACAACATGGGAAAGGTTATTTGGAATTGAGATTTTGACATAGTTATGGAGATTATGACCATCTTCAAACATTTCATGTGTAGGTCTTCTTCCAGTTAACATTTCCAAAACAAGAATTCCAAAACTATATATGTCACCTTCCATGGACACCTCTGAACCCATTCCATATTCTGAAATATAATGCATACTGGTCAATACCTAAAGTAATCATCAAAACATTAAAATAAAAAATCTGAAAATAAAAGGTGAAAATTTACAAGATTTCAAACCTGTAAATAATAATATCATGCCATACCTGGAGGAGCATAGCCAATTGTCCCCTTTATTCCAACCGTGCTAGTTTGCTTTGGAGAAGTTGCAGTAGTTGAGAACCATCTTGCTAAACCAAAATCACTCACATGAGCTACCAAGTAATCATCAAGAAGAACATTGCTTGGCTTCAAATCACAATGAACGATTGCTTGCCCGCATTCATGGTGAAGATAATGAATTGCAGAAGCAACATCGACAATGATATTTAATCTTTGATCAAGGCTCAATGTTCTGTGCTGATCTGCAATTTTTATTGGTGGATGCAACCATCTTTCTAAACTTCCATTTGCCATGTACTCATAAACTAGAGCTTTAAATTCTTGACCTTTATAATCAATGCTGGAACAACATGTTAAAATCTTAACCAAGTTTCGATGCTTAATGTTCTTCAATGCATTACATTCCACAAAGAAACTCTTTTGAGCTCCCTTCTTTTGAAGGTTTAGGACCTTTATGGCAACAACATTGTCTTCCAACTCAATAGTTCCTTTGTACACAGAACCAAAATTTCCTGATCCTATCAGGTTTTTAGCTGAGAACCCATCAGTTCCATGATGTAGGTTTTGGTATGAGACCTTACTATGGTGGTCAATTATTGGTGAATCAAGAGATTTTTTCTTATTTCCTTTCCTCACCCAATAGATAGATAGAATAAATGGCAGTATGAGAAGAAAAGTGACCACACAAACTATCATCACTATCAACATGAAATTTTGGTGTCTTGTAGGTCTCTTACCTTTGATAGGGCATGGTGGTAGATGTAGCTCTGAAATACCTCCGCAAAGCTTATTATTACCAATCACTCCTAACTCACTTACATTTCTGAAGACACCTTCCATTGGTAATTCACCATCCAACATGTTAAAAGATACATTGAAGTATTCTAAGAAGGAAATATTCTCCAAACCTTTAGGAATTGATCCAGACAAACGATTTTGTGATATGTCTAATTGCCGAAGACCTTTGAGTGAAGCCAAAGAGGATGGTATGACTCCATGAAAGGAATTCCTATGCAGATAAAGGTACTCCAAGCTCATGCATTCTCCAATGGTTTCAGGAATGTCACCAGACAAATGATTCTCAGATACATCCAACTTCCCAATATTTTTTAATTGGCCAATTTCACTAGGTAGATTGCCACTCAATAAGTTTTTTGACAAGTCCAACATGTTTGTCAAAGAGAAGAGACTAAAAATCTCTAAGGGTATGGTTCCTCTAAGGTTATTTTTCCAAAGGTCAAGATATTGTAACTTCTGACAGTTTCCTATACTTGGTGGAATATTTCCTTCTAACATGTTTTCTCCTATACCCAGATAATACAACTTACTTAGGTTGCCTATGAAAGATGGCATATTTCCTGACAATTTATTTCTACTCAATTCTAACTTTTGCAGCTTCCAAAACTTGCCAAAAGTAGCTGGAATATTTCCTTTAAAGTGGTTAACTTCCATGGTCAAGACAGTTAAACCAACTAGATCCCCTAACTCTGAAGGAATTTTTCCTGATATTTGATTACCCCCAAGATATAATTGACTGAGTTGGGTGGATAAATTGCCTATAGAATTTGGCAAACTACCTCCAAAATTATTATAGGATATGGAGACCACTTGCAACTTACTACAATTTGTCAATGATTTCAGAAACTCCAAGTCCTTAGTTGAATTGTCACCTAGGTAATTGTTATACAAACTTAGGAACCAAAGATCTTGTAGCTTTTCTAAACTTGGAACTTGGCCCACCAAATTGTTTTGACCAATATCAAGTGTTTGGAGGATAGATGCATTTGTAATGGAAGTTGGTATTGGACCTGAGATATAGTTCCCACCAAGTAGGAATTCTCGGAGTTTGGGTAGGGTGTGGAACATGTTTGGTGTAAGAGAGCCATTGAATTCATTATGTGCAGCTGAAATTATAGTAAGAGATGACATATTGAAAAGACAAGAAGGAAATGTACCAGTCAAATTGTTGACATGCATTGATATCATTGTCAAGCTTTTGAGGTGACATATTTCTTGTGGAATATCTCCCTCTAAATTATTAACACCCATTGAGAGAGAAGTGAGGGATGACAGATTCCCTATACTTGGTGGGATTGCTCCAGTTAAACTATTTCCAGCAATGCTCATTCTTTGAAGCTTTTGAAGAGAGCCAATTTCAATTGGTATCTTACCGATCAAATTGTTACCAAATAAGTGTAACTCTTTGAGATTTGAGCAACTTGTCAAGTTTGTAGGCATTTCCCCTTCCAATGAGTTATTGGTGAGAGAAAGTTGTTGTAATTGTGACAACCGACCCAATTCTTGTGGAATTTTTCCATAGAAGCTGTTGTTTCCAAGGTTGAGACTTGTCAAAAAAGAGAGATTGCCCACATGAGGAGATATGAGTCCATGCAAGTTATATCCTTCTAAGTTCAACTCTATAACTCTTTGTTGCATGGGATTGCACGAGACTCCACGCCACTTGCAAAACTGGATTGAACTAGTCCAAGAAGCCAATTTTTTATACGGATCATTTGATATTGATTCCTTGAATTTGAGCAACTCAAAATAATCGGTTTGGTTTTCTAAGATAGAAGCAGTTGTGTTTGGGACAAACAAAAGTGAGTTGATAGTAAAAAGCAGAAACATGCGAAGGTATATAGACCAAAATGAAGGTAAAAGGAGAAAACAAGATTTCATTTGGTTGACAGGGTTGTTAGATCGTGAAAATAGATAACTGTGATGACCAAAATAGTTGTCTTGGTTTGATAATTGCCTCTGACACTGAATGGATTTAAATAGTGGAGTTCTCTCATGTTGGGATTTGTCTTGATTCTCTTGAATGTTGAATTTGAACTTTAATGGCCTAAAGTCAAGTCAATAACATATAACAAATTATAGATAGTGACGGGAACTTTCAACGGAAAATACCTCTCAATATGTTAAGGGTACACTGGGTTAGAGGGAAAAAAGGAACTTCTTTTTGTACCAAAACCTTGCTAATAAAATTAATATGTGCACTGTCAAAATAAATAAATAAATAAAATAGAAATCTAATAAGATGATACTATTTTCATTGAAATTCTTTACAATACTTTTTTCATAATAAGATATATGGTAAGCATTTGTTATTAAAATAGCAATATCACACATTCAAATAAAAAAAATATATGGTATAAGTTTATTTAATAGCAAATTAATTTGTTAATATAAATTTTGTAACTTTATATCATTAGCATGATGTATAATGCTGATAGTTTAATACACTAATAATATATATAATTTTGTTACACAAATTGAACTTTCTGTTAATAAGATGCATATATTAAAGTCATAATATCTATAATAATAATTTGATTTCCATTACGAAGGATATATCAACAAAAGTATATGTAACATCAAATAATTAGTGTCTAACAATAACCAATTAAGTATAACTTTTAACCACCACTACACTTAATAAAAGATAAGCTCAATCGTCATGATCTTCATTTAACAATGCTACAAAAACGTGGCATTTCACTTTTATCCTCGTATTTTCTAACTTATGATCATTTTCTTGGTAGGTATGTAGATTTTGTTTAGTACAGCCATAAGGAATCGGATTCGGATTGTTTCCAGTTTGCACGAAAATTAGATCTTTAATTCATTTTTCGTTTAAGCAATTTCAATTCTCTTGAGCAAAAATACAAAAAATGACAAAAAAAGTTTACACAAAATTAGCTTAAGCGAATTTTTTGCCTTAAGCAAATTGTGCAGATTCACTTAAACAAATTATTTTAACTTAAGCGAAGAGAAAAGAGAAGACTAAAAATGGATGTAAATAAGGAGCATGTAGTATATGAGTGGTGGTGGAGAAAAAAGAAAGTGAGTTGAATATAGAGAAAAGATGGAGAGATAGATATTGAGTGGAGTGAGAATGAGAAGAGGAAGAGAAAGAGATGAGTTGGGTATGAGGTTGAAAGAAAAGAGAGTTAGGAGGGAAAGAAAAAAGTTGGGTATAAGAGTAAGAAGAAGGTTGAATATTAATGTTAAAGGGGTTGAATATGAAAGTTGAAGAGGGAATGTTAGGTTTAGAAAGAAGGAAAAGTGAAAATTAAAGTTCTATCAATTTTTCACTTAAGTCTATTATTTTCTTTTAAACTATTTTTCGCTTAAGCTTTTTTTTTTGCTTAAACTATTTGTTTTATGAAAATTGGTTCAAACCATTTTGTCACTAACTTAAGCAAAATTAACCCCATTTTCGCTTAAGCAAATTAGAATTGTTTAATTGAAAAATGAATTAGAGGTCGAGTTTTCATATAAACTGAAGACAATCCAGTTTCTTAAATCGCTTAAGCAAAAAATGAACTAAAGTCTAGTTCCCGCATAAACTAGAAATAATCTAGATCTTAAAAAATCGTCATCTTATATTCTCTTTCATATGTAGAAGAATTACAATTCAAGCAAGTTTCCACTAAGGCACAAAGTATTTTTAATCATCATCTTTTAGCACTTAATCAAATCAGATTGTGTTGAACTAATTATATTCATTCCTAACCCAAAACAAACATATTTAAGAAAATGGAGGAAATTGCCCATTGATGCAATCATAAAACTCTAGTGGTAAACAAGGTATGTAGGCAAGTTGCCAAAACCCTATCTACAATTACTTATTCACCAATAATATAAAAACAAGACAAAAAGTAAAACAGGAACTTATCAATCATTTTTAAATAAGAGACAACCTCGTCAACATTGACAAGGAGATAGCACACCCTGATTTTAATTCTTTTTCTTACATCCACTTTTATATTATCTTTTCATTCTAGCTAATAACACCACATTAAGGTGCAACCACACCAAACCAAGCAAATAGAATTCACCTATTTGCCCATTCACAAATAAGTCATATATTTTAAATATGATTAGGAAGACAAATAGAATTGTTCGATAAATAAAATTATATTTTATCATCAAGCAGGTGGATTAAGTGTGATAATGATATTTATGATTTGGACAAAAAAATTACGATCTTATAAATTTTTAATTTATTATTATTTTTATCTTTATCATTTTATTAAGTTTTTTTCTTATCCTTTTCTATTTAAAATCCTTGAATACTTACTCTCGTGTGTATCATATGTTTTTATAATATAAAATATATAACTTATATTAAGAATTATTGTGTATATTTATATCTCTAATAAAGTATTGTCTATAACAAGTTAAAGACGAGGTCAAAATTCAAAAACATTATCATTATTACTCTTTTTTATTTTATTTTTGAGACCCACTCGTTATAATAATTACCGGCAGCAATATCATCATCGTCAAATACAAAACCAAGAAATTTCTTTTGGCATCATTAATTTTTCTAATACAAAATTAATAGTGACATTGAGAAGTTGGATTGTGCCAAACCAACTTCTCTAAGCGTTGTAAATCAACACATATTAAAAATTAATTTTCCAATTGCAATAATTAAAATAACAAATTATTTTTTAACAATATATAAATATAAAAGTCCAATTGAAGAAATTTGCCTTCACGCCAATGCAACACGCGTGTATTATTTTAACCGTACAGCTTTTTGATACCCATGTTTCACATTTTACTATTTTATAAAAAAAATTCCATCTTATTCCACTTTCAAATTTATTTATCAAATGTGCTCCTTTAACTGTTGTCACTTTTTGTCACACATGCATTTGCCATAAGATATAGCATGACTCATCAATCGATATATATATATATATATATATATATATATATATATATATATATATGCCAATTTTAATTTCTACGTTTTTCAAATTATTGATTTTTATGTCTACTCTAACATGATTAATGTAGATATGTACGTGTCACTTTGATAGTAACCTACATTAGTGAAAGAGATTCAAACCATCAAGTTTTAAAAATATGTGGACTAAAATAAAAATCAATTTTATAAATATTTCAAAATTCAAAAAATATAAAAAAGCATATTTGATTCTAAATATCAATATTTCATGACAATAGGAGAAGAGAAACATGAGAGAAAAACCTCATAACGTATAATATTTTTATTTTTCTGAAAATTTACCTCAATAGTTTATACATAGATACATATTTGTACGGTCAAACACATACACGTGTATAAATTGTTAACCTCGATAATTTTTATATATAAGTTATCATTTTCTAAATTTTATTTTAGATTAAAAGTCCATCATTCGTTTTACTGAATTAATTTTAAATAATAGATAATTTTATTTTATGTTTTTAAAATTAAGTAATTTTTAAAATTTTCAGTTACTGAATCTCTATTTTCATTTTTATATTTTTTTCTTTCACATTCTACGATCAAATTTTACAAACTATAATATGTAGTCTATGCTTGCATTCGGTACCTACATTCTCAATATTGCAACGGTGTAGGGTTGAGTAAATGAACTTTATTTAGTGAATTAACCTGCAAATTTGATGTTTGAGCTTTAAAAAATAAGTGGTTATTTGAATGTGAGTTTATTATGTGAATTGGTTTGCATAATTCATGAGTTAATTAAAGGGAGTTGAGTTTGAGCAAACCATTATTTAATTAAAAAATAAATGTTAATTTTTAAAATTTTAATAATTTGAATATAATTATAATATTTTAAAGTTAAAAAAACAAAAACACAAAAATTTGAAAAATATATGTTTGTCTAAGTCTGGATTTATGTAGACTTACAAAATATAAATTAATTTAAATGAAAACCTATGTAAACTATTTCATTTAATTATGGGCGCAAGGGTGGTAATGATCAACTACAACTACACACTTATACAATGCCTAAACACTTGTGTAATTGTGAGTCAAACTTGTTAACTTTTTATTCTTAATTTATGTATTATATCTCCTTGCTAAAGAATAATAGTTCAATTGTTTTCTATTGATGTTCAGTGGTTTTAAATGATTTATAAGTGAGTTTAAAAGTTCAAAAAGTATCATTTTATTAATTTTTTATTATATTAAATATATAAAAAGTATAATAAATATTTTATTTTGTAATAAAAACTTATTATTTACTTACTTAAACTTTAGTTGAAATTAACAGAATTTTTTTAATCTTTAAAAGAAATTTTAATATATTTTTAAATTTTTAATTTAAAATATGATTTATAAATTAATTCCATAATTAAATTTTCAAAAAAATATTAAACTGTCTAGACACATAATCTAACTCACTACTGTATTTCTGAAATTGGGCCTCTGTTGGGCTTTTGCTTGGTTGTTGGGTTTGTTGTGGCTTTGCTCCATACTCCAAAATAACAACGTTTGTGCAGCAAACCACGAAGACTAACGAACAGCGCTTGAAGATCTCTCACTGAATCGATAAAAAATTGAAACTTGATTCCTACCCTCAACAGTGTGCGTATTATTTGATTATAGTTTTCACTGATCCGCAAGTGGGTCGAACCAAAACAAAAACTTGCATTTGTTAATGTTAACGTTGGTGTGGCACTGAGATGGGTTTGCCAAGGTTTGGGCGTGCTAAGAATGATGGTGAATTGAGTTCAAACCTTTATGTGGCGAATTGTGGGCCAGCTGTGGGGCTTTGTAATGATGAAATTGCATCTGTGTTCTGCAAATTTGGGGAGCTCAAGGGAGTTTATGCAGCTGATGAGAGTGGGACACGTGTCATTGTATCTTTCGTTGAAGAGGGTTCTGCACATGCTGCTTTAAAGGCTTTAGATGGACGCCCATGTCCCCAACTTGGAGGTAGATCCTTGCATATCCGCTATTCAGTGCTTCAGCCAACTCCACAGGTACTATGTACATACATATATATTAGTAATGTTTAATATTCTTATGTTAGCTCTCATTATACTTATGCTCTAGTTGCTTGGATATTTATATTTACGAGTTTGGAAGAGCTTAAGTAGAACTTATAGAAACAACTTATAACTCAATAAGCTTTTCATCGTAACTCATCAGAATAATTTCTTTTCAACTTATTTGAAGATGTGTTATGATCAAACTTATGGTATAAGTCCTAATGTGAAAAGAGCTTATGCTTATAGCGCTTAATTGAGCTGTTTTTCCAAACACACTTTTAGTATATGTTTAATTCAGCTTATTTGGAGAAAATAATAACTTATTTTTGGTAGTTTTATGTGACATTTTTTGAAAAATAAGCCACTATTTTCCTGAGTATGTATGAACCATGTATATGTTACCCTTTTAAACAAACTGGGCATAAGTTTAACTAATAGTAGTTTTAAGGAAGGTCAGTGTAATTATCTCTTATGTTAATACTTTCGAGTTTACTTGTTTATTCAGGATCAAGCTAGTGACTTGGTTCCTGTGTCTTTGACAGCATCAGATCTGAGCATTCCAGGCATTTACCTAGTGCATGACTTCCTTAGTGCTAAAGAAGAAGAGGTTATCAGTCTTTTCCTTCAAAATCAATGCTGCATTGTTTTGCTTACCATATGTGCATTTTATTTGCACCCTTCTGTTTGTAGTTAATTTTGCACCTATATTGGAACTTCATCTATGTGTTGGCCTTTTCCATTATCTCAGGAATTGCTCCAAACTGTTGACTGTAGGCCTTGGAACAGTCTTTCAAAAAGAAGGGTTCAACACTATGGTTACGAGTTTTGTTATGATGTGAGTTTCAAGGATTGTTTGGGTTTTTCTCATCATTTGTTAATATCCTTTTGTTGTACCCAAATTAGTCAGGAATCCAATCTTTTTGTGGCCAACTAAATCATTATTTTTTATCAAATTGGTGATCCTATTCCAAACTAGTTGAAAATGTGTTATTCATAACAAATAGGTTGCTGAGTAGTGTGAGAAATTGACTAATTTGAACTCTTCTTTCTACTGTATTTGGGCTTTGCAGACTAGGAATGTTAATACAAGACATTGCTTAGGTGAACTTCCTTCATTTGTTTCTCCAATACTAGAAAGAATCTCATCATGTCCAACTTTCAATAATGTTAAAAATATAGTTTTGGACCAACTTACGGTATGCGAACTTCCTCCTGTGCTCCATATTTTTTTTTTTCAATGATAAAATGCTATTATTGTTATTGTATATTATTAATACTTGACACCATATGATGCTTTTAGATGTCAGTGTTGTTTATTTATGTTCGATGTTCAAAGCTTGAATGCTGCTAACTATATTTCAGGTAAATGAGTACCCACCTGGAGTGGGTTTGTCCCCCCATATAGACACTCACTCTGCATTTGAAGATTTAATTTTCAGCCTTTCGTTGTCTGGGCCTTGTATAATGGAGTTCAGAAGATATGAAAATGGTGATTGGCATCCTAGAGTTGCCTCAAGTGCTGCTGCAAAACAAGAAAGTCATGAAGATGATTCAAATTTTATAAGGAGGGTTATCTATCTTCCCCCACGATCTTTGCTACTCTTGTCTGGAGAAGCACGTTATGCATGGCATCATTACATTCCGCACCACAAGGTGTGATGTTTTGGAAATAATCATACTCTCCTCCCATTTTACATATTGAAAGAAGTTGTTATATTTCATAATCCTGTTTTGCTATCATGGCCTGAAAGTGCTTTGTAGTCATTTAAAATCTTTTATCCAGTAAAAATCATGCAGTCTTAGACATGAGAATGCAGGAGTTCTTTTTTTTCTCGTGAGCAGACCAAAATTTTCAATATAAAGTTTGAAAAACTTACCATTTTCCAAAAGATCCTTGTTTGAGAATTTATGTATATGGGATATTAATTTCATTATGTGCTTGTGTTGTTACAAGAAATTTTATTTCCTTATGCAGTTTGACACATTGAGCACTTCAGATATGTGTACTTCAATTTAATAAAAGGGTATATTAAATCCGAAACATGGCGTTTGATGAACTTATATCCCTACTCAAATTAATATGCCTGCTATAGCATTCAGTCCCATCCGTTTCTAGCTCTCTTCTTGTGTTCTGTGATAGGGCATCTTTTCTGTCCATTTTCTAACATATTGATTAGTAGAAAACTTGAAGATTAACCCCCCTTGCTTTAAATGCATTTATATGTGTCTTGATAATATATTTTTGCACCTAAAATATATTTTCTAATATATTTTCTGCCCCCACAGATAGACACAGTGAATGGCAGAATCATCAGAAGGGCTTCAAGAAGGGTATCTTTTACATTTCGTAAGGTACACATGTCGTGGCTCTTTTTGGTCTTCCTATAAACACCATATTAAACCCCTTAGTACATTTTATGTTAGTGAGTAGTTCAGTGCAAGAAAAAGAAAATAATAAATAATTTTTTTATTGACAAATGGTTTGCTCCAACATTTTTCTTTCCTGTCTAAAAGTTCTCTTTTTAAAAACCACCATTTGTATGTACCAGGTTAGAGCAGGTTTGTGTAAATGTGAATTTCCTCAGTATTGCGACTCTAAAAAATAAGGCTTCACTATGGGGGCAAGGAGGAGATTTACAATGTAATTCATCAAATATTTCTCATTGAGAGTTGCAACGAGTAAAACCTGAGGTGTGTTCTTCATTTTTCAGTTGTTTCTTGATATTATAATGCTTACATAATACGGGATGTTTCTTGGATTAGGAATCTTTGCATGGACAATTCTGGGCTTTAGGGTGGTTTTTATCCTCTATAGGCGATTATACAACCCACCAGTTCTCAACCAAATGTTCACTCAGTTCTGTATCTTCATTAATACCACCAGCTCTGGCATATGTTAATAATGATAGGCATACTTGATACGTCTAGGCTACTTTCGTCTAACCCTGTTATTCTTCCTCTTGCCTCTATTTCCAACTTTCAAGGCCCTACATTTCTGTTTCTACAACTGAATTTGAATTTTCCTCTGGATAGTATCAAGTATATGCAATAACTTTTAACTTGAGCAGTAGGGATCAACTGCGATGTGGTTTACTGCTTAGGATAAACACCTCTGCAGCCTATAACCTTCCGTTTAAATTCTCCGAATCTAATGGTGATCATCTCTTGTAGCTGTACACCTAATTGCTTAAGTAGGATTTCTTTTGTATCCTTTACACAGGTGATAATCCCTCCATTGGTTTTACTCGACCAAACATGCAAGAATGACAAAGGAGAAAAATAACAAGATGGGCAGTTATAATGAGAAGACCATGAGACTTGAGCTAATTTTGAGCGGATATTCCAGACGTTAGTACTTCAATCATTTTTCAGTTGTAGCTTGTTTGCCTAGTTTGCGTGTTCACGTTAATCTACTTTGTACTTTGATTTTCTCGTGCTTTTTTTGGGAGCCCTTGTAATTTAATGTTCAGATGGCACGCTATACTCACCAAATTAGCTATATCATTGATTCAAAAAAATTTGTATACATGAACTTAAATGCAAGTTTCCCAATGGAATTCAAATATCAACGTTATTTGGTGAAGTTTTATGCGTTAAATTGGGGTAAACATTCGTACAGTTGCTTCCTCTTGTTTGTTGGAATCATCGTAATGTTGCCTTTCCCGTGCGAGGTTCTCTTTAGACACAATTGCGATGGGGGTTATATGCTGAATACCTATGGCATCCCATCATCAATACTAGGGCCTTCGCTTCGGAATTATTCGGAGAGAACTAAACTGCTCAATTCAAGCTCAAATGAGTTTAAATAGTATACAGAAGATATGATGCCGCACTCAACCCATGCTTAAGCGGACCGGATGTATATTTTCATCATGTCAAAAGATTAGGTTTAGTGGCTGAATACATTTTGAAGCATCCAAATACATTATGAAGTAACAGCTTAGACAAAGTGCCAATATGAATTGTTTTTTATAATCGCTAACAATTTTTTTCATAAAATACTCCCATCCATAACCACATTTCATAATCGCCAATTTTATCGGTTAGATAGAATTTAAAAGTTGGAATGCCAGAACTTAAACCTCGGGCATTACCAAGCTTGCAAAAAGCTGATTTATATGTTGCGCCGCTGCTTGAGGACTAAGCCACATCTTGAAGCCTATGAATATTATACATAGATGACAATGTTACAGATGGTGTTGCATTGCCATAAGATAAGGTTATTACGCCCCATAAATTGGCCTACGGTTAAAAGTAAAATTTGCAGCAATTACAGATCTGTCACCTCACCTGCAAGAATAGCTAGCTAAAGTAAACATCAGATTGAGGAATATTCGCTGAAAATATAATAAAACTTGATAACAATATATTTATGAAATTACGAATCACTTGAAAATATACAATTTTAATAATAGTGACTTATGAAACTTAATAAATGCGTCAGGCATAATTTGTATCAAAATTAGATATTCTACCACAGCTATAGCCCTGTGATAGTTGATATTTAGGCAATGACAAAAAAAAAAAAATACGTGAGACAATGAGCTGGAAGACTACCATGCTTTGTGCAAAAAATCATTTAAGAAAAATACTTCCCCTCTAGATCACAGTGAATTTCAAGGATCCTTACCGTGCATGCATTTGATGAAGAAATCCAATTCGGACAAACAAACATTTCCCTGTAGCAAAGATGGTTGCTGATAAACAAAGAATGAGAAGTGCCGGCGATCAGGGTCATTTCTGGGCTTTGCCATCTCAACCAATCTTTTGTACCCTTCTCTATCATAGCAAAGAAGTGCATTCTCTCCAGCAGCCATCAACCCACGATCCCAAGCTGAGTTTAATACCTGTGAAAACATAAAACATGCAACCATCATTCATGACAAAGAGAATAAAACATCCATGGATCCAAGTTGTTGACCAGAATAAGATATGCGAGCAATCTAAACAAACATCATTCCTGCCTTCATTCAAATAACTTCAAAACTGGATTATGTTGAAAAACTTGTCAGAAGAAATATTCTTGGGGAGGTTAAGAATGTAGGAAACTAATATTACCTGCCAACTCAAACCCTCTGGATCAACCAATGATTCGTTGGCTTCCTGGCTGGAAAGATGAAATCCTAAGCAGACAAATTTCATGGTGACGGCATGTTTTCTCAGAACCTCAAACACAGGAGAGTATCCATCCTGATTTGTTGGGTTGTGATATCCTGCTGTCAACTCTGCTGCATGACTAGGAGTCTTATACCACCAATAAACAGCAGGAACCTGCATGATATCATCCTCTAAGACATCTATTCATTAAAGAAAATGATATAATTTCAGACTTTAACTTTTGAGGAGAGTATTTTATTTTTTTCAGGAGATGTAAATTGTAGTGACCACACTTCCCAAGGTTAAATGCATGTGGCACTAAGCATTTTACACATAAAACTAAAGAGTCAATAATTGAAACTTGAATTTCTGTTTTGCATTGGATAGTTGAGTCCTGGTTTCTGATCTCTTACCTGTTCATGAACCCAAAAAACTTCTAAAAGAAGCATTTTTCATTGAATAAATTATTACTGGTAATATTCCAGTTTGGTCAGCCACATTGAAATATTAAAAGGAATTGGAAGAATTTAGTTTAATTCAACTAAATAACCACATGGCAAAAAAGAATTTCAACTCTGACAGACTGATTGACACTTCTGTAGATGCTATAAGAATTATCCCATATTATTAGCTAACAAGTTTCAGTTCAATATACCCTTAAAATAGGGAATTCATTGAAGAGCTTTATACAAATTTTCATCATTAAATATTTCACCCTCGGGCTATGCTTGGTTCGGGGTAAGAATGGGGGAAATTTCAAGGGAGTACAGTTTTCTTAAAAATGAAACATTGGGCACAAAAGTATTAAACACCATTAACATATATTCCCTGAAAAGTTTGTCTTAAACTTAATATGTATACTAAATGCAACCTCAGTTTTTAAGGGGATACCAAACTCCTATACTCTACGTGATATCTATCATGAATAACACTAACATCATCAAAATTTAGTCATACAACTGCAAGGTGAAACTACTATAGAAAAAAATCAATATACCAGGGAACTACCTTGACAATTATTTTTGTTTCCTCAAAAGCAAGGGTTGCAAGAGACAAAACATTATCTGCATGGTCTATTAGCGTCTGGGAGTACCAATGTAAGAAGAAGCGTCCATAATAGTTGTCGTAATCACCTCTCTCACAAAAGAATCCAGTTTCATGTGGCATAGAATTGTAATGACCAGCATTATCAGGTCCTCTAGCCCAGAAAGAGTGACCACGTAATTTGGCTGCTCTGCGCAGACTATGTTGCAGGTATTTATCATAGCACTGCCCACAGAAGATGATACAGAAAACATTACTTCCTTATTAGTGAATAAAATATGATAGTACATCACACTATTTATGATACAGAATAATGCGACTTCTTTTTGCAATGGGGCCACAATATGGGGTACCTGAAACTCACCGATACCAGGATACCTCCATCCCATTCTTTCTGAGAAAGAAGGATATTTCAGCTCCCCCAATGCTCCAAGTCCAATTTCAACAGCAGAAATCAGACCTTCAGCAAACAGATCATCAAACTCTGTTCGAAAGCTTCTCATCATATCAAAATAGACCTGTATATATTTAGAGAAGGTCAATCAATAACACAAAACAAATGAGAATGTATGTAAATTTCAAATGAGGAATAAATCAAATAATATAAGCTGATGACCATGTAGAATAGCACATATACAAGAGAGAACAGTTTTTTTTTTAAGGTAAAGTCCAAAACTAAACTGGAAATTAGTATGTAAATGTAACTAAAAGACATTTGACAATAAAGTGAATATCAAATCTTTGAATAACGACAATAATTGATGCCTTCAATATATTCATACCTCAATACCAGTTCTTCCTTTGAGTACACGTTCTTTGTCAATCCCCCAAGAAAGGCATTCAGTATTCCTCCTTCCTTCACGATCTGTGAAGAATATATCCTGGTTGTCTTTTCCAATATCCAAAACCCATTGTGGAAGGGCAATCAATGCATCACTAGAATCATTCCCTCCACATTCATGGAATGCCATAACAACCTTCAAATTTGAAATAAGAATCAAGAAAGGTTCTCCAACAACGTCAAAGATGCTTCCCAATCCCCATGACAAAGGTACACATCCAATTAGAGAAACCTCTGACATTTTAAAATAATATGATGTTTCAAATATTATGCAAGCTAGGGAAACAATTTTGTGTGCTATACTGAAAAAACAAATATTTGAAAAATACTACAACTGAAATCATCCACTGGTTTTTATGTCTATGTTTCCACGCCAAAAATAGATATGTCAATGTCATACAGAGTTAACTATATCTTCTCATTCTGAACTGCTCTGTTTTTTTTTTAAAGTTTTGCATGGCCACAATCCAACACCTCCCTCTATTATGCATTTAGTCCTTCATGTATTTTACTAGTTTCAAGCATTTCATAAGCAGGACTTCTATCAAAACCAGAAAATTCACCTCCGTAATAGAAAATGACTTGGTTCTATTACTGAAACCCTGTAGACTCTACAGTACAAATAGCAAAAGCATAATCGTGTTTGATAATTTTTCTCTCTTAGACACAAATACATGCATAAAGATTATATAACCAATAAAAATTATACCTGTAAATTCAGCTTGAATTCTCTAATGATGTTAAAAAGCTCCCTATAACCAGACCACACATATTTCTGAGGGTTCCAACCTTCAACAATGCCCCACCAACAATCCACAACAACACCATCTATATTTAAAGACTTGATATGGATTAGCTCCTGCCTAATGCCTTCTGGATCAATCAACTCGCAAAATTTGTTAATAATACCAGCCTGCAATAAAAGACTAATTTTTTAGAAGTCCTATAGTCAACTACAAGGCAAACACAGTCAAAGCCACAAAGGACACAAAATGTATAATTTTCTGTCTAGGACTGACACATTACACCAGTTTGATGCAGTTTATTCAGCAAGCAGCAAATAGAAGACACTTACTGGAAGCTTTACATAAACAGGAACGTATGGCGTGCCAGTAAAGTCATTTTCATGCACCCCAGGATGTATATCTTGCATAAGCTGCATCAACAAACTACACAATCAGTTGGTCCTGGATCACATCTGTTCATACACAAAGCTCCAAATAATGGGTATTGATGATGCAAAATTTAAAAGCACTAAAATGCAGAGAAAGGTTTAGTTTCTATCCTAAAACTAACTAGCATACTAGGAACTAACATAAAGCCATTGAAGCAGCAAGTTTACATGATTAGCATCAGGTCAGGACATCAGGGTGCAATATTCATTTTCTATATGTTTCTATATCAGCATTGTCATTGCTTAATTGGTGCTCTGGTTGTGAATTTTCCAATATTCACTGTGAATTTTACTTGTCTTGATACTCAAGTTTCCCTGATGGTTGTGAGCTTTACACACCAATATGTCAATCAATAATACTTCCAAACCAAGGGGAACATATTCTAAATGCCAAGCGCACTTGTTAACACACTTTATGACTTCTTTAATCGGTGCAAACTGCAAAATGTAACTTCATAGATCATTTGGAATCAAAAGGAACATCAGTGCTGCAAGCCTCACTGAAACGCATCATTTTATTAAAAAAAAAAAACGAGAGAGAGACACATATAGGGCACAAATTACGTGAATAAAAACTGGAGCATTCCCCATTCTCCCATTCAACCATCTAAGTGCCGCTGCACCCCCACACCCCCCCCCCCCAAACTTTCACACGCCACAATTTACCAAATTTTTGTCGCATACTTTGGTTTCTCACGGGTCCTCTCTTTTTTTCAGTGTGAGTACTCATTCTTTTATTTAATTCATCCTTTTGGGATTTGAGAAAAATCTTGGTAACCCAATTATTTTTCTTTCACATAGATAGCCTTGGGTGAATTTTTGAAGTTAGAGATAATTCTCTCAAGAGAAAGGGGTGTTACCCATTGGATGAGAGATTCCTAATTGGGTTCCTAAGGTATGCCCACAACTCAAATTCATAGGATTGTTGGGTTTTGGCAAGTTCTCATTCTTAGGGAATTTCTATTTTTGAGCTCTAAATATAGATCAAAGTATTTTGTTGATAAAGTTAATTCTGAACCCCTTTTAAATATTGTTGGTGTTCAAAATTGTAGGCTTGCATTTTTTTCATGGTTCCGGAATAGTCTTGTGAAGCAAGTTAATTGGTCTTCATTGTTGTGAGTGGATAATTATCATAATGACTTATTTCAATTATCACTCTAATTAGTCATTACATTATTATTGTTATAAATTTGCTGATATAGGAAACAAATTCTTAAATTTATTTCTTGATCACATGAAAGTTCATTGGAAATTATATTTCATCTAATTATCTAAAATTATTTAGAAAAGTGTGAAAGAAGCTATTGTTTTAATTGTATTTGATGATATTCAACTGTGAGACATATGCGTTGAGACTCTTATTATTGAGAACAATTTGATTTGTATACAAGAACGATTTTTCGTTGTATAAACATTGTGAGAGGAGCTATGTTAGAATCTTATAACCGTTAGCAAAAATAACCGTCTAGGTACACCTAGTTATATTCCGGGAAGAGAAGGTTACCCGTTAGATAGAGCTGTCAGTGCACGGAGAAAGCTATCAACGAGGTGAAGCTACCCCCATCAAAATTAACTACAACATTATGTTTGCCAGGAAAGAGTTACGCATTAGATGAAGCTACCCCTAAGAGAGAGGCCGCCCTTGGGAGGAGAGGGCTATCAACGACGTGGAACTGTCTTGAACTTTGGTTTTCCAATGAGTGACCCTTATAACGTTATAGGACATCTACCCTAATAATGTCTTTAGAAAACTAATATTATTAACTTTAGTATATATTAATATGACATGCTTTGTGTGAGCCCTATAATTGCAAACTACCCGTGCATTATTTGCTTCTCTTTCATATTCATTATGGTTATTGGCCCTCCCTCAGTCTGTGTGACTCACCCGTCTTATTATTTAATGTTTACAGATCATCAAGTAGCGGAGTTGCAGGTTACTAAGGACGTCAGTCCATTCTAGTAGAATCCCTGTTGGTAGGCCCCAAATGTCTTGGCGGCCTTGATATTTTTTTTCTCTTTTGTTTGGACATTCTACAGCTGTTTAGCCGTTAAACTTTCATTTTGGATACGTATTAGATGTTTTAGTGTGGATATTATAATTATGTTGGAGTTTGGTTGATTTTGGTTGAATTATAAATAAATTTGGTCAAATTTTTATATTTTGGGATAATGAAAATACATAAGGAACTCTGCCGAAATTCTGTCCAATTTAGCATATTGCTTGGTCGAAGAGGTTTGTTATCTCATGGGATGGTTTATAAGTAGGCTTGCCAGGTTAAGTTGTGTTTCAAAGTAAATTAGCCTGTGTGCCGGTCATGGGCCTTCTTCTTGGTTGTGACACTCACCCTCACAGAATTTTGCTAAAAGACAAACAAACTAATGATACAATGTTTTATCAAGAATAACAGTAATCATATGGTTTCAACTACTGCTCCACAACCACGTTAAGTTAAATTTAAACCCAACACTTGAGAACAAAACAAATGAAATAAACTTGATATTGGAGTGTACAGCTTGCTCATCAGAAAAACATCATATAAGAATGTCTAATTTGCAATCTTCAACCAATAGCATGTAAAGAAAACACTAGAATGTAGAATCAGATGATACATAAATTGTTCAGATTTCACATAATAAAACAGCGAAGACAGCTAAAACGATAGCCTGTGTATATATCTGAATCAGCATCAAATATAATGCAAATACTCGTGAACTAGTCGCAAAAATCACCTGATCAGCCTCCAAGCATTCAACAGAATTGATGGGGCTAGCATTTGTATATTTCTCATTCTTTGAGTCCCTTTCTGCAATTACAACAGAATCAATGGACGCAGGCGACAAGCATTCGTCAATTCTAAGCACAGATGGCCGATTCTCAAGCGTTTCCTTAACAGAGCAATTTCTCAAAGAGCCAGCAGAGAGTTGACTTTCAACTGACCGTGCCGCAAACGAACCCTGCATAATAATATTACATTACATAAATATAAAGAACTTCAAATTAACATACCAAATGAAATGCCAGCCAAACATTTCATTATTATTATTTTTAATCAATATGAGTAACAAGTAAAACCTAATTCAAGCACATTGGCACAATAAGTCACGTCTCAAATTTCAAACCTTCTAACCTACCAACAAATTGAAACATTGCACACAATAACAAGCAAACAGAATCATTAGCTTAATCGTGAAAGAAAGCAAGGAACCATGTGAGAAGGAGGGGGACACTGGCGATAGGTGGTGCCATCGGCGTCGACAACCCAACCAGCCTCACGCGCGAGCGCGGCGAGTACGTCGTTCATGTCAGCACGCGCCGGCAGAGGGAAATTCCCGTACTGACGGAGACCAGCAAGCATGCGGCTCGTGATGGCTCGACGGTGTCGCTCACGGAGCTTGGTGCGCTCCTTCTCCTTTTCTCTCTCTTTCTTTCCCTTAGCGCCGGAATTAGTGGCCGTCGCCGCCGCAGCAGCGGCGGCGGCGAAACCTCGGGGACGGCGAACCTGAGGGTGAGGGTGTGGTTGAGTCAAATAATCGGAGCTGTGGTCGCTTTGAGGGTCGAGATCTTGTGTGGAAGCATCGTCGTTCATGCTCTTCATCTTCACAATTTCACTCTTCTAACATTCTTTCTTCTTCTCCACAGTCCACACTTAAACGCACACTATCTCAGACTCGCGCTTCTATCAACTCAGCTCAACGCTCTTTGTTTTCTTACTATTTTTCATGAAATGTACTGGCCCAATCCAAGTGCTTCTTCCTCTTGGACCTCAATTACTCAAATCCCCACGTAGCAAAAATTAAATTGAAAAAAAAATGTCTTTTTTACTTCAAAAAATGTAAAATAACTGTTGTTCATAATTTATAGAAAATGTATCTTTCTCTCACTAACAAATTATTTTGGCCTTCTGAACTATTTTGATCTATAGCAATCTGCCCTATCATCTTTTTAAAGACGATTTTTTTCTTATAAAAAAATTATTGTATTTAATAGTATTAATATATTAAAGTTTATCATTTTTAATAAATTCTTACTACATACAACATTGTTCTTGAATCGACTCAAAATTAGACCATGACTAATTTGATTTATAGTACCAATTGTTTTTGTCTACTTGAATCAGGACAAATCGATTTTGGATATTAATTCAGACAACAGTGTTACATAGTACCAAAAATAGAACAAAACGAGCATCTTTATATAATTTGTCTTAAAATAAAAAGTAAAGTTTGGTCTTTGACGGAAAACATGGATGAATAATCCCATGCAATTTTCGTTTTCTAAGGTACAGATGATACAAGACCATAGTCTCAACCATTACTCCATTACTTATTATTAGTATATGAATGTAATATATATCTTTATCTTTTTTTTTTCATATACATTTTTTAATTCACTAATTAAACTAGTGATCTAATGCTTCAATCAGTAACTCAATAACTTGACTTAGTCATTAATCGATTCAAATTTAGTAATATTAATATATATATATAATCAAATTAATTATCCTTTACTTTTAACTTTTCTTAAAAAGACATGTCACTTTTATATAAGAATTTGCAGGCTAAAATGCTCCCAATTACTCCGAAGACACTAGAAAATTAATGATGAAAAAAATACTGAACATCACGACATTGAATGTTACTTTTTATTAAAATGTTTACACTTTTAATACCTTAATCAAAGTCTTTACAACAATGATGAGTAATAATTATTGTTATTATTAGTGATCTAACAAGGCTGTGCACACTGAGTATCTACACCGCTTGGAGAATGTAGAAGGTTTCTGCATCTACATATATGATCATAAAATTTTTAATAAAGTTAAATATTAACATATTTCACTGATCAGTCAAGATAAGTTAATCATGAGTTATCCAAAACTCTGGAAAATCATCCCATAGCCACCCTTGCATCATGATTATACATTGGAAGAACAGGTAAGCACATGAGGCAGACCAAATTGTAAATCGCAGTGTAGTTGGTCTTTCAGGTCGGGTAGGAGACAACTAGTATTTGCCTCCTTCAATTTACACTCCTATTGAAATGTTTCTCTTCTCTTTTTTTTTCTCTGAAAAGTGAAAGGATATTATCACACGCATGCACGACAGTTCATTGTTGTAAAACCACAATTGACTGGTCTACAGATAAAGAGAATGATTCAGTCAAAGATGCTGGGTTAAACTGCAACTCCATAAATGATGAAAAGTACTCATTTTGACCGATACTTTTTCCCTTCTTTTTGCAAACTCTGTATGTTGAACAAGCGGGGGGAAACAAAAGAACGTCTACATACATCACAAGAATCTTTTTGGACCCTCAGCTTCAGATTGAACTAGTAGATGAGTCTATTTCTACCATGGTTTTATGATTATTCAGAAAATGGAGTAAATAATCATTGACAACAATGAGAATACTAGGAGAAAGGACTGTGCTTCTTCTGATGGTGTCACATCATTGTATGGGCAATACTTTAATGCTTCTCTCAGGAGCTGAGTGTCTCAGAGGAGATGATGCTGATAAACAATTTGCAACTTTAGTTCTCCGTTGGCAGTGAATCAGATATACAAATGTCCCCTCGACATAGTGGGCACACCCTGTGTATAATATTTGAAAGTTAGAGATACAAATTTCCAAGCATCTTTAGGACATGTGGAGTTGAATGTAAAGATACTAACATAATGATGACATAAATAGGGGACAACATGGTACATAGGGACATATATAGCTCATTTGAGAATGCAAAAGAATTCATCAATTATTACAGTAGGGTCTTATGAAATGCCAAGATTTAAACACAACAATTCCATAACATCATGTTGTCAGAAGGGCATTTAATCCTTCATATCCATCACAAAATATCATGGAGGTTGGACCACAGGTTGAATAAGTTCCAGAAAATAGGTTAGATGCTCATGAGATGGAACAACGTTCAGTCAGTTTAGCCAATCTCCAAAGTTTACCAGTAAATAGTTTTGCAAATATCTAGTTCACCAGCACTGCCTATTTACTTATAAGATTAGAATGTTTCTAGATTAAAAAATATGCAAAACTCACTCATGTATGTTCTTTATTCTTCTGTGGCATTTACTAAATAGACTTCACAGACCCAGACATGATGGTTACCCACTAAGCGGAGAAAATACTATTAAAGGAAAATTATGCCCCTAATTTATTTTGCAAAAAACGGAATAAGAAGGTCAGTTACCCAGCTAATTTTCATACTTAAACACCGTTACTATATAACTTGATTTCGTTGTAAAAAACCTATTACTAAATATTTCATGGGTAGAGCCAAAGAATGTGAACTGTACAAGTTAACAATAACATTGATTAAATAAGGATTAAATGAAAGAAGAGGCTCTGGTGTATAGAGAGGACCTAGTCGTTTAAAAAATAATCATAGAAACGATGGAACCATTATTTTTTTTATCTATATTCTTCTGTGGCATTTACTAAATAGACTTCACAGTCCCAGACATGCATGGGTAGTACATTGCAGCAGTAAATTGGCAGGAATATTTGTAGCAATAGGCAATTTTATTTTATATAAATCTGAAGTTTTTAGCCATATAGTTAACCAAAAGGACACACAAATCCCGATACCCATGTACCTGTGAATCTCCTTCAGCCATTTGTCTATACATGTTGTATGAAACTCGTGATGACAAGGCAGAACTCGCATGCTGTCTCCATCCTCGTACTCCACAAGGCATATATAGCATCTGTGAAATTAAAGGATAAGCACAAACAGCAAAAAAACTCTTTACTATAATCAATATTAGAGAAATGCCCAAACTAGTTAAGTTTGATAGAACTAAATAAATATATAAAAAATGCACATTGGCATACTAACTAAAAAATGTAAAAAAAGAGGGTAAACGCCACACTCCATCACCTCCCAAAAAAAAGACACTCATGAAAATCTGAACCCATACTTCAAATAATGAATAGTTAAAGCTAAATATGCTCTAAGTAACGACAACAACAATTGGGTACGGAAGTGGAAGGTAAGCTTTTAGTGTCCAGTATCAGTTGGCATTTTCATGCCATCATGAAAAACATTACAATCCAAAATTGCAGATTGCAATCAGACTATCAGAGCCATGATGGCCTCACAGGACATGACTAAATATTATTGTTCATTGTTTGCATTCTCCCTCTTAATCTTTGTTTAAGAGAAGTCGCATACCCTCTAAATTTTTATCTGACAATTTACTCAAAATATATAAAAGAGAAAACGATTGACATCAAAGAAAAGGAAACATAAATGGACAAGAAAAAATCGGAATAAAAAATCTGAAGGCATTTGAGAAAATGAACATTGTGAGGTGGATTAAGACTAAATACTTACTGTACAGGTTCTTCTTGATGTTTGTGCAACTTTGTATACAATTTTACAGGCAAGGATTCCACAACTTCAGTAGGTGCAGGAACAGAACCGATAGATGACACAGAAGGGCGAGAAGATAAAACTACAGATTGCTGGTGAATTTCATCCAGAACCTAATTAAAATATGTACAAATATTCAACTTGTATAAATATATATAATGAACGGCCACCATAACAGTTAACAACACTAAAAATTACCTCAAATAAGGCTTCAGCTAGCATAACAATTCTTGATATGCTAGCTCTAGCATTGGTATCATCATTCGAATTGGTATCACGACCACTGATTCGGCATGTGCAACGACCATTTCTATGTTGACCAGACAAGATACACGATCTGTCATGTCCAGAAAGATTTTCAAACCGGCTACCGAGCCGCTGAAGTGCACGGACCTAAACCATTTGAACTGTAGATCATTAGCAATGAATAAAATCCAGGGCATGAAGAAAGAGGACATGTATAAGTAACTCCAAGTCTTAGAGTTTCTATTTATGCCAATATTTTGCTATGTGTGAAGATGTCACGTTTACAGATCACAAGCAAAACAAATTGGCTATTTTTTTTGCATCTCCTTTTTCTATTATAAGGGTATGCTTTTAGTTTGGAAACATATTACCAGACCATCAAATGTTACTAAAAAGTTTATAAAATTCACAAACCTGGGATCGAATTCTTCTTCTCCTTTCGATGAAATTGGACCTATGTTCCAGTAGATCCTGATACCTAGTTTCTCTAGATCGTGAAGTCTCAACTTCATAGTCTTGGATACCAAACAAGGAGCTTGACATACTAGGTTGAGGATATCCAGATGTAGCAGAAGAATTTGCAACATTACGACCAGATGGTGACACTCGTGTGTCTCTCTCCCCTACTCGTCTGCCATTATCTTGACTAGCATCTCTCACTTCTCTCTCTTGTTGCAGAGGGCAAAAGCTGAAGTCAGATACTGCTGATCGGCGGAGAACTCTATCACGAAGCCTTCCAACACTCAAAGTTCGGCTAAAACGAACATTACGTTCAACAGGTTCTCGAGCACCATTTCGTCTATCAGTATGTCTAGTCTCAGTATTTTCTGTATCTGTATGAACTCTAGGAGAAAAAAAGTTCACATCTGGCACTGCTCTCGTACCATCTCCACCTCCAACCACATCTTGTATAGAAGAAAGTGTAGGACTGCTCGGCAAGTTGCCCGGCGAAACCGATGCAGGAGTATTAGATCTTAAATTATTAGAAGCATTTTCATGGTACTGTAAAGGCCTCCCTTGACTAACAAAAGACGCATTAAGCAATTCACCACATTGTTGAATTTCATTTCTATTAATCAAGCTGGCAGGTGGCCCAGGATGCACGCTAAGGTCATCTTCATTGTTAAATACTGAGAGACCTCCCGAAGAAACAGGGCAGGGCCTAGATGACCCTAAACTTGTGGTTCTGCTAAGTCTGAAGCTTATATTACCAGGCACAAGGCTGAAGCGAGAAAGAAATCGACTTGAAGGGTTCATGGACTGAGTTGAAGAAGAATGTGCAGAGCTGCTACCAGTTCTGGATGCAGCATGACTCCACTCATCAAGGTCAATGTTAGAAGGCATACAAGATACTTCATCAGATTTAACCTTTCTAAAAGACTCTGTCTTCACTTCATCTGAGTCTATAATTTCATTCCCATCAGAGTATGTAACATCACTTCCACTTACTTTATTCTGATCACAAACCTAAAGCATGAGTTTCAAACTATAGTTAGGCAGTTAGTACCACAAAACGTTGATCAATTCCAAAACTATCGTTAACATGTCGGTTATACACACAAACAAATATATGAAAACAAATAGAGAAGAGAAACTATTGCATTACATTATTTTCAAAACAATCTGAAGGGCATGTCATAGCTTAGAAACAAAATAAGGCATGATAGGTCAATGGAGCTAACAATAGGACAGAGGCGTAATGGTAAGAAGTTCTGATTAACCACTTGACCAGAATTCTTAAAATTTGTAAGTTGTAATAGGAACTCAATGTATTAGAGTTGTTGCCTTATTGTATAAAACAATATCGCATCTTTCTAGAAGCTTATTAAATTACGTTATTTCCTACATTAAGAATCGATTTATTAGGAGTCTCAGCAGTAAATTACAAGACAAGAAACATTCACAAAAGTGGTAAATGTCAAGAGATGAACTGAAACAAAACCAATAACCTTCAGTTTCCATATCATACATCTTATTTTAAATGTACAGACACCAAGCAGAAGGGCAATAAACTCATAGCGAGCAATTTCGTTATACTGAGAGTAGTGAAACTGAACGTTATGTTTTCAGACAAATACATTTAAAAGTAACTGAAAATTTAGCCGCGGAATAAAGATAACACCAATCCATGCATAAATAACAAGAGAGAAAAAATATATTAAAATCCTTGATTTTAAAAAAATAAAGAGCTTTGCTTGTTAGTACGAAAATTTTTGCACGAAAAATGACTAAACATACGTGGCTTCATTTTAATTGATTATTATACCACAGTTAAGAAATGAAGTATTTGACGGAAATCACGGTGAGTCGTTGATATGTAATTTCGTAAAATTCATTTCTTACAATTCAGGATTTTCCCAAAAAAAAAAAGTTAACTATATTGAAATCATGAAAAAGATTATCATTTGAAATCCAATTCAATTAAAAGTGAACAAGGACCAGAAAACGATTAATTTCTGAATCCTTAGGAGTGTGATCATAGTAGCAACCTCCATTTTACAATCCAAAAGCCAAGTCACGTGAAACATATTAGTCCTCAAAGAATGAGTTTAAAGAGATAGTAAAAATGAAGAAACAAAGAAGTTAGTTACATTGTGAAAAATTCCGAACAACATAGCAAGTTGCTACTACCTGGTCATCATTATCAATGTCACGAGATCCAGAAGATGTTCCTAAACAATAAGATGGGAAACCTCTACGCCCCTTAGATCGACCCTTCCTGAAACTACCCGAAGACGATGATGACGTGGCTTTGCTGCCACTTGACCCCATTTGAAAATGAATGCGTTTCCGATTACCCAACAGGCCAAAGAGCAAGACCCAGAAATCAAAATGCGTTCTTTCTGAGATCCCAGGTGTTTCAGATCTACAGGGTTGGCGAACTAAAGTAGCATTGTTCAACGGTGTTGTGTTGAATAAAGAGAAAGATGTGTGATGCAGTGTTTAAATGTGAAAAGGGGTCAAAATAACAGAAGGAGGTTGAAATGTAAGGTAAGTGTAGAGTGCAGAGGGTAAAGCCGTAAAGGGTGGTGTGGTGATGGGAGTAGCTGAGTGAATGAGACAAAGCAACTCGCAGAAAAACGGGAAAGGAGGCTTTTTTGGTAAGTAAAGTGAAGAGAAGATAAAGAAAATATTCATATTTTTTTCTATAATATTCATTTTTATTTGTGTCATTCATTTTATTACCGTTTTTTCTATTCTTCTTGTGTATTTTTATACCAAATATTATATGCAATTAATATATAGTTAATATTTCTGAAAAGAAAAATTGTATCTGAATGTATTTTAATTTAATGTATATCGTAAAAAAATTTACATTGTGAGTTGTGTTAATTTTTTAAGGTAGAGCTTTCAGTTCAAAAGTTATGTATAAAAAATTTATTTAATGAATTAGTTTTATTATGATGTGAATGTTCATTATTTGATTTATTTTTTTGGTGTAAGATATCTATAATTTAAAACAAAATAACATAATTAGTATTTTTTTTCAAAATGTTCAAAAATTAACCTATGTGCTGTTCTTAAAAAAAAAAAAAAACAAAATAAGTAGGTTTATTGGATAAAGAAAAATGGCATTTTTGTGTGCCACGATTTTGGGGATTCAAATTTAGCTTTGTTGGTACGCTCTGTGCAGTGTGTCTTTCTATCGCATTCAATTTGACATGGGCAGGAGTGAGATGGATCTGCCCCAACTCCTATCTTACCATTTCTTTGCTCAGAAATCAAAACTCTTATCTTACCTTATTTGAATAATTGAATTTGTTCTGAAGCTTCTGTTTGATAGGAAGAGCATATTCTCTATCAAAGCACAGACACTTATCTGTTAGAAGTACCTGTAGTTTAAAGGGACTTTACCCCTTTAACATGTTTAAGTTAACTTGGAGTATGTACCATAAAATTTTATAAAAATAGATATGGATATTAGTACTTTACAACCCACCCCCATGACACACTCATCCATACATCATTTGGCATATTAAGTATAAAGTAAAAAAATTAATATCACCCCTATAATTGCCTACGATCACAATCATAAATTACATCTTATGACTTTTTTTCTACTCATTTTTAAAGTAAAAAAACTTCTTCTCGCTATTGTGGTATGACAGCTTTGTATAATTGTGTATGTGGTTACCTCGCACTCCTATTGCAATAATTTTTTTCAAAGCGAACATTGTTAAGCACTCATTTAATAATTAATTTTATAATTAAAATGTGAAATAACATTCTTACCCAATGAAAGTTGTCGAGAATCAAATAAAATAGTGTGGTAAAATAGGAAAAAAAATAGATCTTTAAAAAAGTTTAAATAAAAGAAATGTAAAAAAAAAAAAAAACAGCAGATCAATAAGTGAAGCAAGCATTCTTGCTTAAGGATGAACGATTACGAGAAAGAGATCTAGGCACCGAGCTCCTATGGTATTAGAGTCACAAAAGTATAAAGTATGTAAAGTTAAAAAAAAATTCACAATAAAATGAGAGATAATAAAGTTGTAGAGAATATATTGAATCTATTGTATTATGAATAACAATTGCACAGCAATATACAGGCACTGTTGGGTTGCACAAGCGCTGACCCATTATGGCTAAATAATAGATTACATATCAATTAAAGTTAATGCACAATAAATAGAAAGATACAACAAATCACATAACAAATTACAGCAGTGTCAGCCCTTGATTCAAGGAGATAAATATGATATTTGCTTCAATCAACCAGCTGGTCTTACATTCTCCCGCAAGATGGGGGATCCGTCAGAGACACCAATCTTGTGCAACAAATGCTGATGGCAGGCCTTAGATAATGGTTTAGTTAAGTAATCAGCCAACTGATCAGTGGTGCAGACATGATGAACACAGAGTTTGCCCTGTTGAACTAAGTCGCGGACAAAATGAATGTCAATGGAAATGTGTTTCATGCGACTGTGATAAACCGAATTGTGAGTCAGGTAAGTAGTCAGATTGTCACATAGAATTATCGGAGGCTTTGGAATTGGAACACCAGGTTCAGTGAGGAGAGAGTGCAGCCAAGATAGTCCCGCAGCAGAATTTGTTAAAGCACGATACTCAGCCTATGTAGATGATCTGGCTACTACACGTTGTTTTGAGGACTTCCATGCTATGAGATTGGACTCGTAGAAGACAAGGTGTGCAAAGGTTGAAGTGAAGTCATCCTTGTTGCCAGCCCAATCGGCGTCACTATATGCTAGAAGAGTGAAGGTTTTTGGTTTTCGAAGCAACAACCCATGAAAGATAGGGAACTTAAGATACCGAAGAACACGTTTTAGTGCAGTCAAATGGATGGTTGTGGGATGTTGCATGAACTAAGCCAATTTGTTGACTATGAAGGCAATATCAGGACACGTCATGGACAAATACTGCAGGCTGCCAATAGTGCTGCGATAAAACTTGCTGTCAATAGGAGTGGAAGCATCACCCTTAGTGAGAGATGTGCTGGTTGACATGGGGGTGAGGACAGGTTTGGCCTCACGCATTTTTGTTCTTTCCAAAAGATCTAAAATATATTTGTGTTGGCTCAAAAATAGACCTGTGGGAGTAGGTATCACCTCAACACCAAGAAAATAATGTAGGTCCCCCAAGTCCTTAATGGAAAAAGATTTAGTAAGGGCTATAATACAGTCAACAACGATACGAGAGGAGTTGCCGGTGATTAATATGCCATCCACATAGATAAGAGTGTAGAGAACCAGTCCTTTGTGATTGAGAATAAAAAGAAAAGGATCAGATTTGGAGTTAACAAACCATAATCACAGAGAAACTTACGCAATGTGTGGAACCATGCTCGTGGTGCTTGCTTGAGCCCATAGATGGACTTTCTCAGACGACATATGTGATGAGGCATTTCTGGATGAACGTAACCTGGAGGTTGTTGCATGTAGACCTTCTCCTTTAGAACGCCATGCAAAAAGGCATTATTGATGTCTAGTTATCAAATTGGCCAGTCATGCTGCAATGCCAAAGATAGAACTAATCGGATGGTTGCTGGTTTAACTATAGGACTGAATGTTTCAGTATAGTCCATCCCTGGACGTTGGTGAAAGCCTTTGGCAACGAGTCTAGCATTGTATCTATCAATATCTCCATTGGGTTTTCGTTTAATCCTGTAAACCCACTTACAACCGATGAAGTTTGCAGCTTGAGAGTGTGGAATCAGCTCCCATGTGCCTTGCTGGACTAGAGCATCAAACTCTGCACTCATGGCAGCACGTCATTCACTAGATTTAAGGGCTTGAGTCACACATGTTGGTTCCATAATGGGGGGCATAGGATGTTTTGTGGTAAGAAGATACTTGGCATTAGGCTTATGAATATTATTCATGGCTCGTGTGACTGGCCGAGAAGGAAGAGGCAATGGGGGAGGTGTTGATGTAGCGTTATTTGTAGAGGTTGGTAGTGGAGATCCTTGAGATACATTGTGAATGGGGCTAGAGGAAGTATGAGATATGAGAGGGCTAGGTGGAGCAGTGGAGAATGGAGGGGGTGTGGATAAGGAGGAATTAGAATTGGGGGAAGGGATTGGAGGCAGGTTTTGTGGAGCTAGTTGTTGAAGTATAAGAGGATGATGAGATAGAGATGGGGAGTTGTGATGTTGAGAAGAATTGGAATTGGAAATGGAAGTAGTTGAAGATGGGGTGAAGGATGGTGAGTCATAAGAGAAAAGTGGATTAGACTTAAAGGGAAAAATTGACTCTTGAAACACCACATGTCGTGAGATGTACATTTTGTTAGTGGGTGGATGATAACACTTATACGCATGATATTGAGAGGAGTACCCGAGGAGGACACAAGGCATGCTTCGAGTGGATAATTTGTGTTGAGAATATGGTCTGAGTCAAGGATAACATAAGCAACCAAACACTCGAGAATTGTGATAATTTGGTTTGCAACCAAAAAGAATTTCATATGGTGATTTGTGTTTAAGTGGGATAGTGGGCATACGATTGATAAGATAGACTGCCATTTGGAAAGCAAAGCACCAAAATTTGTTAGGAACATTGGAATGAGACATAAGAGCTAGGCCAGTTTCTATAATATGACAATGTTTTCGTTCTGCTATGCCAATATGTTCAGGAGTATATGGTGGACTCATAAAATGAGAAATGTCATTAGAGTTGAAGAATGGCTTTAGTTTCAAAAATTCAGTGCCACCATCCGTATAGATAGATTTTATTTTAAATGAAAACATAGTCTTAACTTTGGCACGAAACAGTAGGAATATAACAGCAACCTCAGTCTTATTTTTTAATGGATAAATCCAAGAATAACGAGTGAAATGATCAACAAAAATAAGATAATAACGATACCCATTAATAGAGGTAACAGGGGAAGGTCCCTAAACATCAAAAAATATAATTTCTAAAGGAGCACTTGTCGCTATAGAAGATTTAGAGAAAGGAAGTTTGTGGCTTTTATTGACATGACAAGAAACAAAATGAAGATTTTTTATAACAGAACTGGCAGAGATGCCGCAAGTAGACAAGATTTGAGTGAGAACACTTGAGGAGGGATGACCAAGACGAGCATGCCATAGTGAGGAGGGAGAGCACATGAATGATAAAGCGAAAGGGGATGATGAGGAACGTGGACGAAAAGTATAGAGATCACCACTACTTGGACCGCACATCAGCAGTGCCCCTATTGCTAGATCCTTCACACAGAAAAAGGAAGGGTGAAACTCAAGATATGCATTATTTGATTTGCAAAATTTGGAGACAGAAATTAAATTATGTTTGGCATGGGGGACACAGAGGACATCATTAAGAGTAAAGGCAGCAGTGGAAGTGGATAGTGCAGTGGAACCAACATGCGAAATTTTTAAACTTGTACCATCACCAATTTGAACTTCATCGGGGCCATCATATGTGGAATGAAGATGCAAGTTATTAAGGTCAGTGGTTACATGATGACTAGCACCAGTATCAAAAACCCAGCTAGGTGCCGAGGAAGAAGATGCAGCGGCATAATTGATTGTGGAAGCATTGCTAAGTTGAAGTATTTAGGGGCAAAATTTTGCGATGTGACCAGGGAATGAGCAGAACTGGCATCTTGGCGGAG